TACTGTAATAAGCATAATCGGGAACCCTAATGAATACTAGTTACTAGTTCCAGTTATTGAGGCCCCTGTGTTGATCGGATCTTGGCTTGGCTCCGCATGGGTCTTACATGGGTTGGTCAATGCCCAGTCTCTTGAAGCTTGTGCGAGGGCTCCATTGGGTTTGATCAGGTTCTATGTAGGCTCAGTGGGTTTCACAAAGTGTCTTCGTTCTGCACTGGGACGACATGGGGATTTCGGAAAATGCGGGAACCTGATCTTATAGAACCCAAAATTTCTACGAACCTCATTATGAGAGAGCCTACACCGGGTACCCCCTATGTTCTGAAATCCTCACATGTTGACACGAACTGCTGCTCAGTACCGATGCCCTCGATCGGAAGTTGAGGTTGCTGTTGAGGTGGGTGGTGGTTGAGGGTTAGGGTTTGGGTTTGAGGCTCGGAGGGTTTAGGATCGTTCAGCATCTGGGGCTTGGGGTTCAGGGTTTCGAGTTGCCTGGCAAAACATCAGCAGCAGGACATTGCAGGACCATGCAAGCACAGGATAATCGCATGCCAACAAACTCAAACCGAAATCCCTAACCCATAAACCCTACACCCTAAACCCCAAACACCTCAAACCCCTAAACCCCCAAACCCCTAAACACCTCAAACCCCTAAACCCCCAAACCCCTAACTAAACCCCTGAGCCCGTAGAACGGCCGGCAGCTCTTCGTTTTTCGCCGCTGGCTGTTACCCCTTCAGGCTGATTCCCAGTTTATCCTCGTCGAATGGTGAGTCGAAGTTGGAGTCCTTTGGAGCTTCAGTTTAGGGTTTAGGGTTTAGGGTTTAGGGCTTTTGGGGGTTAAGGCTTTATAGGCTGTATGTAGTGCTTCTGAGGCTTTGGAGCGTAGTGTTCTTCTGAATATGCTTGATGGGATTTGTAGTAGGGGTTTACCGGGGCTTCACGGATTCGTCAGAATTTTATTGGCTGTGTGTAAGGCATTTCAAAGCGTTGAAGAGATCTTGATGGGGTTCAGTTTTGGACGGTTCTATGAGGGTTCTGTTTAGAGCTCTTGGTAATTAGGGTTTTCTGGGAGGTATCTTGGAGTGGATAATGAGGGTTGCGTAAGATTTATATACGGTTTAGACAGGACCTGCAAGAAGGCTCTGTCTTGTCGCGTTGTGGTTTCGGCTGCAGGGCATGTTTGGAGCATTTATTCTTGCGGAGTTTGGTGCTTGGGACTCAAGGTTTCGGGTGGTCTGTTTTGCTTTGCTTTGCTTGCTTCAGATCAATCAGCTTAGGGTTGGGGCTTCATGGCATGTAGCTTAGTTTGGGGCTTCGTGGGTTTGGACATTTATGGGATTAGGATTTAAGGCTTGCTTGATTTCTCGTGCAGGAAATTTGATCTATCCTCGTGAAGGGATCACCGGGGCCTGTACAGAAGGGATCCATTTCACAGGGCTGTATAATTAGATATAGAGGCCTTGGCAACTAGGATAAAGGTTCTTTCAAAGGTCCTTTAGTGCTTGAACCCAGGGCTTTGGGGGCACGGTCTCCACCCCTGCGTTCGAGTTTCATTGAACTGCATGCTAGCAGATGCCGGGACCCGGCATCCACTAAGAATGGGATTGGACAGAAGAATGCAAGAAAGGCCGCCACTTCCGCCAGTTCTTCCTGCGACTTAGAGCCTGGATCCGAAATACCGGTGCAGACAAGCTGCCCAGCCGTTGTACTGGGTGTAGTCCTCATCCTCCTCCACAAGAGCGGAAGGTGGCTGCTCAATTTTATCGACTCTGCATTCAGGGGAAGTTATCATGTAACTGGAAAGGTCTGAAGAACTCGCCGCAAAATCTCTCCATAGGCCCAATGTCATCATGCTACAATTTGCCCCCAAAAAAACTCTATCTCCGTTCAGACCGGAGGGATGCCCCTAAACCCTAGAACGAAACCCATCAAAAAGCCATTCGGGCTTAGGGTTTAGGGCGTGACGCCCTCAACCTTGCAACCTAACACGTCGACCTCATCGTCCCAGGGAGCCCACCTAGGCTTCGGATTTCAGAGCACGGAGCTTGGGGTTTAGGGTTCGGGCTTTCTGGCTGGAATTGCTACGACGGCTAAGGCTACGGGCTGCATGTCTAATGCGACGGTGATACTGCGGTAACTAGCCCCAATTACCCTAAACAAATAATCTTACTCTTACGATTACAATACCGTCGCTGCAGTCAACCTTATTGATTCTGCCGCTTTCTTCTGCTGCTTGGTACCATCATTGTGACGTGCTGTTACTACCCAGCCCCATGACTTCTGATGTCACTGCTACTCTGGTGACTCTGGTGGCTCGCATCCATTTGGCGGCGGTGACTGTTGCCGCACGGGTGCTGCGGTCGTTGATGGTCAGTGCATTTGCGCCTACAAATATTGAAGGTGTTGCTACTCAGTTCATCCTTGTACATTGCCATTATGCTCTTACCGGTGCAAGTTCAACACCACTCAAAGCATCAAGCTGAAACCTCAAGCCCCAGGTAGCCGGGGCACCCTTCGTCGGCATCCCGCATCTCATCCTCCTCCTTCTCATTCACAGAGTCGTCTAAGTCGTCCCAAACATCGTCATCGTAGGAGCCCATGTTCTCCTGGGCAGAAAGTTTGACGCTTCAAGGAGCTCCCAGGATTTGCATAGGGGCCTTATGAATGAGAACAGGGTTTTGGGGCCCATTCTACTATAATCATGACAAGGAACCACGCATAATGACTTGACCCGAATCTATTCCGAACTATACACTCCGAACCCTTGTCGCGAAGACTCGCTGGACTTGTTACCTGCTGCTTCTGCTCCCCGACCACTGTACCCGATTGCTACTTCTTGGAGCTCCTGTCCTTATACTTCTGATCATAAACTCTCAACTCTAAACCCCAAACCTGGAGGCCCCAACCCTACACTCTACACCATAAGCCCTCTACCTATCAGCTTGCCATCGGCTCCCCAGCCCCGGAAGCCTCCTGGAAGAACTCGCGCAGCTCCTTCTCCGTAAGCCTGGGAGCTTGGGGCTGTGCCGACACAGTCCACAGCTTGCTGAAGGTGGCTAGGGAGTCTAGGGCCTAGGTGTTCAGGGTTCGGATAACTGTGTTGGAGGGGTTTTGGGTGTTTGGGCCTTGGGGTTTTTGAACTCCGCTTTATGGTTTAGTTAGTTTAGGGCGCACCGGGATAGGGATGCGAACCTACAGAAGGACCGTGATAGGGCTCAATCATACTCCACAGCTGCATCGTCACCGCTGATCCCCAAACCCTACAAGCACGGGGTCAGGAGTTTGAACTTTCGCACACCATGCATATGAAAGAGGAGCTCAATGCCGCCGTGAGGCTCAGGCTCAAGAAAACCACGCCACACTGCATGGGTAGTCTGGGGTTGTCCGTGTGAATTCTGCCTCAAAGCCCTTGAATCCTTTGGAAAACAAGAAACCGAAACGAAAATGAAACAGGCAAGAGCTCCTCAACCCGGAAATCCTGATTTTATACATTATATGCAGTAAATAAGTTGTATATAATATATACGTTATAAACGATATATATGTTATAAACGCTATATGCATTATATACATAACTATGTACATTACATACATGATATACAGTACATATACATAGTGTATCTATATTATATCGCTTTCTGGGGAGTCGGCTCCCTCTGGTCTTCCTCGGCAGCCTCCGCTTCGCGCTGCACGAGCGCAGGGTCTGCCGGTGTCTGCCTGAGGCTAATGTATCGGCCTTAAAAATTAAAATAGGGTTTAGGGCCCCTTACTAAGGACTCCAAGGAATAATATTGGCAATTATTGGCTGCTATATTATCAATGTTTCAAGGGCCCTTACGGATGAGGGCTTCATCGGGTTGAGGGTGTACGGTGGAAGCCGGAGGCAGGATTTAGGCTTACTTAAGTTCGGATGCTGAGGTTCTGGGTTTTCACGTGTCTGAGAATGATGCAACAAAACTGATCAAAACAAACATGCACACACGTTGCTGTCACTGACAACTATTTATTGCTACCAACGACGACGATGACAAAGACTATGACGACTACCACCACGAAACCCTGCAAACCTTGAGTCCTGGTCCTGGAATCTGGGGATAACCTCTTTACCGTCACCCTGAAGAGTCCTCCCGAAACCCCGAAGCATGAGGCCCCGGCTTCCACACAGGTTTCGGTGCAGCCGCTCTCTTCGCCCTCCAGTCCTTCCCAACGGGAAAAGGGTTTGGGTTTAGCACACGGCTATACAGCATACAGTATGGCCTCAATGCAAAAGTGGGGCAGGATTCTGCTCCAAACGAGGCCCTGGGCCATGTAGTTTCACTCCCAAAACTTCTGAACGTCAACCTTTGCACACAACATGCTGCAGCCCCGAGGTCCCCACAGCCCCGATTCCGGAATCCTGACCTCCTAAACCCTGAATGTCGAAAAAAAGGCCCAACTAGCTCCTAAGTTGTGCCATCCTGCGCACTATGCTTTTGCAATTCAGCCCACAGTCCTTCGTTGTGGGATCAAATCCTGGGTTTCAGTGAAAAGATGGCACTGTGATTCGACGGCTTCGGCAGGGGGAGGCACTTAGATAAGAAAGGAAGCGGGACGAGGGTCAGTTAAGATCTAGGCAGAGCCGTTGGGATGCTGCGACGCTCTGCAAACGTGGTGGATCTGGCAACTTTTGCTTGACGTGACTCCTGGAAGGGTTGCGTTTTCGTGCATCGAATTGTGCATTAGCCACTAAAACCGCGCCTGTGCGCGAGTGGATTCAGTGGTTACTGCTCCTGCATACAGTAATTGAGAACGATGCAGATACACTAGCTACAAACAGTGTTGGGCCACTTTCCGCTGCCAGGCCTTCTGCCTCGAGAATGGGTTTCCCACGATCCGAAGCACCCGACACTCAAGCCGTCGGTTGCAAGATCATAACTTGCGCATCTTCCTGGACACGCCAGAAAAAGCCAGAGCCCTTTGTGGTTTGGGTAGGATCATCCGGGCGGGCAGGGGTGAACTCACGCACCCGCACCCTTGACATTCAACATATCTTTGATGGCTTGCGTTGGGTCGGTCTTGGGGTCCAATCCTGTGGAAGCCGATGCTTCAGAGTCATGTCCGGAGTAGTGGGGTTCCTCCCAATCGTCCCTGGGGATGACCAGGTAGTCCTCTTCTTCCCAACCATACCAGTAGGCATCTTCATCTTGATGGTCATGGCGTTCTGGATTGCACGTTCCTGCGACGCCGACCTCAACATCATCCGGGCGTGTAATTCCGACAGGATCATCGAAGTGGCTGCTGCCGGCTGACTCACCTTCACTATTCTCAGTGTCACTTCTGTGCCAGTGATGTGACCCAATGTCGCAATACTCTGCATGCCACACGTGCTCACTGTCGTCATCTTCCGACTCCGACGGATCTTGCTGCTGGTGCAAGCCCATCTCATGATACGTTGCCCAGATGCAGTCATCACAAGCATCATGGTGACATTCTTCGCAATGGTATCGAACAATACATGCTGCCTTGCTTTCTTCACACCCTGCACAAAACCATGTCCTCGTACTCGTATGCATGAACCTCATCATGTGTCCACAACGACAAACAGGCATGTCTTCCTCACCGCTTGACATGGCTGATGAAGGCACTGCACTGGTCTGGTGCACAAACTCGCAAAGATTGCAACGTCCGCTACCGCCAGAGCCAGACGAACAGAAGGCATACTTGGGGGGTGCACAGATCCTTGTGAAGGAGGGGTCGTTGTGAATACATGTTCTTGTAAGTAAAGCGATCCAAGCCCAAAATGGAACCTACCATGTGGACGTTCTGGGGACGGGTGTTTTGACGACGAGTCAATACGAGAGCCATTCAGCAGCCTGTCCAAAGATGTCTCGAGGCATCCTGGGATGACCTTCTAATTTTACTTATGGCGGCATGCAAACTGCCGGAACATGACGAGATCAAACCATCCCGTGCGGTCACACAAGCTCAAACAAAAAAGAAACACGAACGACCACATCGTGGCGAAGATGGCAATGACGACCTCGGACATCGCTGAATGCCCGAACATTCAGGAGCCCTGCGCCCCAATCCGAGCTCACCCGCGCCCAAGCACCAAGTCCTTATGCGTTTTGAACGGATAAGCAGCCAGAGAGCCCAACACCCATGAAGATAATAAGGAACGCGTTGGAAAACCATAGGAAGAAAGATCCCCAATATCTAAAGCCTGACCAACCTACTCTTTTCAGGTCACCTAGAAGACTTAGGGTTCAAAGGTAGTAACCCTAAACGCCCTACACCCCTACCCCCCCCCCCCCCCCCCCCTCTCCCTCCGGTAGGCCCCGAGCGTTCCAGGCACCGCACGCGCTCCTGGCAAGTTCTGGCAGGTGGCTTCTCCGGAGCATCGGATTGGATTTAGAGTCTGAGGGGTTCTTGGCACATCCTGGCCGTGACAACACAGTACCCAAAAAAGGCTTCATCTCATCAGAATGTTCAACATCATGGCTCCATTTACGGTCCCGACAAGAAGGCGCATACCCGGAGAACGGCCACCCCCAACAAAGGAGACCCTAAACACCAAGCCCATCCTTACTGGAGCTCTTGACGCTCCTCGAAATCGGCGCCCTTTGTTGTCAGCTTCTGACCTTGGCGAAGGAACAAGAAGGGTAAGTGAGCGACGATGGCAGTTGTGCTGTTGAGGGCGTCAGGCGTGCCTCGTAGTTTAACCCTATAAGCCCTATAAACCCTAAACGTGCATGGGCTTCGGAATCGAGTCTCCAGGCTTTCCCTCAACTTCAAGCAGCTAAGCATGCCTTCTCTCAACTGCTATGCGACGTTTCCACAGAACATTGAGTTGAAGAACCCCAGAGCATTCAGCGTTATAAGTTTTAAGGGTTAGGACTTCGAAGTATCCCCAGAACATTGGGCTGACAATCTCACCCGAAACCCTGAACCCTACAGCTCGACAGGACTGAAAGGCATTGAAGAACCCCAGTGCAATCAGGGCTATATAAGGTTTAGGCACTGGTTCAGAAGCCTGCCTCAACCTTACGAGCCCTGAAACCCTGCATGGCTTGATCCCCCCCCCGAGCCGTCGGCAGCGAATGGCCGCGGCTGTGATCTGCTTCCTGGGAAACTTGGAGTTGAGATTCGAAGCTTGTGGCCGTCGCTTCAATGCCGTTGTGCTTAGGGCCTTGGGCCTTGGGCTTGGGTTTAGGATTCAGGAGTGGCCCGCCCTCCAGTCATGCTGAGAAGAGTTTTGTGATGGCATCAAGTTTGCAAGCTTTCAGTTAACAAGTACCATGCTGTTGCTGGCACTTCTTCATGCTTATTGCACAAACGCAAGTCACCGCTATGGGGAACCTGCGCAAAAGACCTCAGCCATCCTAAGCCCTTCGACTCCGTCCCGAACACCCAAGCTTACTTCGGGCTCTGCGGTCTACAAGTCTACCTGTTTGAACCAGTGAAAGACCCTTCCTCAATTTAACCCGAGACCCTAAGGCCTTCTTTGAACCAGTCAAAGACCCTTCCCCAGTGTACTGTAACCCGAGACCCTAATGCCCTAAATCCTGACCCTTCCTCAATATAACCCGACCCTAAGGCCCTAGATTCTGACCCCAGTCTTGTGGAACTTCCCCGCCCCCCCCTCCTCCCGGCCCTCGAACGAGGCCGCGGCCCCATTCGGGCCTCTTTGGGCCCACACAGCAGCGTCAGCACCTAAGGGGCTTTAGGATGGGGACGAAGAGGTAACAGAGACCATAGACTCTGCTTCCTCTAGGCCCTAAGACCTTGCCAACCCCCACTCCTGAACCCGAAGTTAAGCCTAAAGATCAGAGCCCCTTTGAAAAAAATCCTGGTATACTTGGCAACCTTCAGGGTGGAGTCCTTTCATTGTAACCTTCTCTTACAGTCTTACAGAGCCCTAGACCCTAAACAATAAGTCCCAATAACCCCATGTAGCCTAAATCCCTTTAAAACCCTAGCGCAAACCCGAGCCGGGTTCCCCCACACTTCCGCCCTTGTCCGCGCGCGCCGTCCTCCCCACCTCGGTCCGAACCCGGCTTAGGGAGGGCGGAGGGGTTTTGGATCAGGTGGGAGTTTCCGAAAATAGGGGACCTTACTCTAGTACCCCAGATAGTAGGATCCTTATTATAAGGCCCCCAGATAAGGTACCCCTGATTTTCGGAAACTCCCCGGTTTTTAGGTGTTGGGTTAGGGTCCAGCAAGGGATGAGGGTTCTGTACGGGGATGTTTCGGATTACTACCCCCCCTAAACACTAAAACCCCCGTAGTCACCCTTGTTCGTCTCCCTTAAGCCTGAAGCCCCAAAGCCTATAAACCCTTAAACCCCGAAAACTCCAAACCCAAAACCCAAAAAAAAAACATCACAATATATCTATATTATATATATATATATATATATATATATATATTTATTTATTTATTTATGTATATATAATATTTTTTTGCTGAGGACCCCGGCCCTGCGCAGGTACTCCGTGGCATCCCGGGGCCAGTCCAGGAGAACGACCTGTTCAAGGGTCAGGGCTTTACACGGCTTGGCACTTCCGGCTTAGGGGTTTATAGGGTTTACAAGACTTATACGGCTTTAGGGGTTGTTGGGTTTCGGGTTTGGGGGATAGGTTCCGAAGGCTGATACTCGAGCGGACGTCTCATATGGCATCGAGTCGAGCCTGAGCTTTTCTCACGGCATCAAGCTCTCTCTGAACAAGTACCATGCTGTTGATGGCACTTCTAGGAACTTCTTGCAGCCAAGCTGGCGCAATTAGGGGATCGAGCCTTTCAGCTTTACAGTCTGCTTGTGAGGACCCCTAACAAAACTCTTCCACATCGAAGCCAAGCCAGGTCACAGCTAGCAGCTCTGGTAGCATGTGCCGCGCGTCACGGTGCATCTGCCCTCGCACTGCATGATTTCGCCCTTCAGAGCTTGTTCCTCTGCATCGGTGTAGTATGGTCCTCCACCAGGTGGAATGTGGCACCAGCGGTTGCAACTGCCGAAGCTGGAATCACAGGTTGCCTGGCATGCTGCAGCGCTTTGAGCACCTCCTGCTGCCCCAACAGAGCAAGGCGACCCGTGCGACTGGCGGCAGGAGACTGCACACGGATCCTGGTTGACGCAGTCATCGTTGGCAATCCAGGAGCAGTCGCAGCCATTTGCGGAGCGCTGCGTCACGGTCGCGTTGCTCGTGTTCGTCAGACCTCGAAGGCCGGGTGCTGCGGCAGACAGCGCTGCAAGCGCGACCGCATTGAAGCACAGGCGGGAGAACATGGCTCTTCGAGTGGGTGGGCGAGCAGGAACCTTTCAACAGATCTTGCTCTTCAGCCACATCACCAAAACGGCAGGGAGCAAACTTTGCCCGACTCCCAAACTAGCGTTAAGTCGCTTTCTGCAGCTACCGTTACCGAGCTGGCCGCAGGATCCTGACCTCTGGATAATGTACCCGCCACAGGAGAATGCACGCCGGCCGCAGAGACACTGCGACGAGCCCCCCAACAAATCATACCGCCTTGAAAATCCACGTTTGCTGAAGCACAGGACCTCCAAAGCAATGATCTGCTCCTTGCGATGAGGGTTACACTAATTTCGACCAAGCAGTCGCAGTCACAAAGATGCTGTGAATCTGCGGCTGCAGCGAGACGGCGCTTTGTTGCACTCACCTGCCGCTTGCCTTTTGCATGCTGCGGGTGGTGCTGCTTACCGTCCAGTTGCCGACATCGCAGGAAGATATTCCTAAGCAATATCCCTCGAGCTCCAAGAACGGGCTTGGAACCTGAGGGATCTTTTATCATCTATTTAACGAAGAACTAAAAGAAATGCCAGAATTCCTCTCCGGTCGGAGTAGAGCTGAATTACAGATGCCCGCTCCACAGGCTGGCTGGTGCCGCGCGGCCTCCTTAGGCCGTGCGACCGATGCTGTACACGAGACATAAGCAACGCGGCGAAGCGCCTATACATGCGTGGAATGCCGTCGACAGTGATGAAGCCTCGTAGGCTGCTTGCTCAAACCTCCTCGCCGAAGGACTGGCTGGGGGTGATGGTGCTAGGAGTACCCTTGCCGCTGATCTTCTCCTCCTCGTCGCCCTCCACGAACGCGGAGCCCCAAAGCTTGTGAACTCGCACCATGGGGCTCTCGCCACGGTAGAGCCTCAGGGGTGCAAGCAAGAGCTGGATGGAGATCCAGAGGCCCAAGCCGGCGATGATGCCGTAGCCGATGCTGAACGTGAACGGCATGGTGATCATGGCCACGAAAGCCGGCAGAGACTCCTGGAAGTGAGGATCACGTGTCTAACACTTCAACTAGCTACGGCAACTGCATGAATGCCTACGAACAAACTACCTGTATGTTATACTAGTAAGTGCGAGCAGCTTCGATTCTATCTCTTGCCATGCCTGGTGTGCCACAGCAAACCTTCGTGCTGTTGGTCAACGGTGCCACACGAATCATCGTCTTCATACTACACCGAACATCATGACATGCTCTGATAGACTCCTGGAAGTCATCCCAGTCCACGCCCTTCACGGAGCTGCACATCATGGCGCCCAGGAGGCACAGGATGGGCCCGGAAGCCAGCGGAGGAACCTCAGACTTGTAACTCAACACACATTTGATGCCACAGCTCTCTCTCTCTCGCTCTCTCTCGCGTTCTCCCTCTCTCTCTCTCGCGTTCTCCCTCTCTCTCTAACCCGCACATGCGGCCGAGGCGCGGCCGAGACGATCGGGGAGAAGGGGATGGCCAGCAAGAAGCAGCTGCCTGTCACCAGCGAGGCCAGGCCAGTCTTGGCTCCATCCGCCACCCCGGCTGTCGACTCGGCGAAGGTGCTCACTGTGGAGACGCCCAGCACGGAGCCAACCTTCAGGACAGACTGGCCATCACAGTACGGCTGCGGTCTATGCAACTGACCCACATTAAGGAAGGCTGCACTGCACGTCTTGCTTCCAAATAGCTTGGGCTCACTTTAGAATACTTTAAATACTCCGGATCGGGTTTCAACCAGCCCCCCCGGCCATCATGGCCAGCGCATCGGCCAGGTACGCCATGTTCTGGCGCGCAAGCGGCAGGTTGCCCCGGCTGTCCGTGAGCCCGGCGACCTTCGCCACGGCGAAGAAGGTCCCGGAGGAGTCGAGCAGGTCGGTGTAGCCTCGGGCGCCACCCGGCGTGCAAGTTACAACACACTCTGAAAACCACCTTTCTCGTATGGAGCCCTTTGGGGTTAATCACTACACCTTGAGGGCTTGCTGCTGACTTCGTCCGTGGATTGCTCCGAAAGCGAGAGAACCCTTCAGCAGCGCAGCTTCAACAAAAGCGCAAGCCAGGTGGCAGAACGTAGCCACAGCCGTCCAGAACGTGCTGCTGGTGTCCGGGTGGAAAGCCTTTTTTGACAGAGAAGGTTCTCGACTCTTGGGCTACACTAGATGTCTGTCTGTGACCTCCAGTCCATGCAAATCTCGAAGCACTACAGAAACGCCGCAGATCTCAACCCAGCGGAAGTGGCTTTAAGGCCAGGCAGCCCAGTCAAAGCCTTCGAACAAAGCACCAGCAAGGCCTTCAAGAGACGGCTTGGCCACCTAGGTCGCAGGGCTTGGGGGCTGGTGTAGAACGTAGGGCCACGAGTTGAAGATATGACTATGACGATGACTAACTGGTAATTTACAGCAACTTCCGCGCAGGTGGCGCTTGCTCTGCCTGCTGTCTGCTGCCGTGGCACGATGCCGGTGGGCACGTAGATGCGGAAGTCCTTGGCGGAGCTGTCGCCTCCGGTGCCGAAGGGGTAGCCGAAGACGGTGCCCTCCGTGCCGTGCGCCCAGCCCTCGATCCAGCAGATGACGGTTCCCAGCACGATGCCGATCAAGGGAGCACCCGGGACCTTGGCCGCCAGCAGGCTCGCAGTGATCACCAGCACTGCGAGGCTCAACCACAACTTCGCCGAGTCATAGGAGTCGGAGCTCAGAGACCCGAGCTTCACCAACGTGGCGGGATCTGCCACAGAGAAGCCCATGCCCTCGGCACTCTGGAAAGCGATGAAGGTCAGGAAGAGCCCGACGCCCGCGCCGATGATCTCCTTGATGCCTTCGGGGAAGAGCCGGATCAGCAGCGTGCGCATGCCCGTGACGCTCAGCAGCGTGAAGAGGCAGCCGGCCACGAAGACAGCCGCAAAGGCGGCTTGCCATGGGAGGCCCCGGCCCAAGACGATGCTGAAGGTGAAGTAGGCGTTGGTGCCCATGCCTGGCGCAAGCATGAAAGGGAAGTTGGAGAGGATGCCCATCAGCCAACAGCCGCAGAAGGCCGCCAGAGCCGTGGCACACACCAGCTGTTCCTTCATGTCCGGCACAGCGAGACTGAGCATGCCACTGTTCACCGGAAGAATGTAGGCCATGGCCAAAAACGTTGTCAAGCCAGCACGGATCTCGGTGGTGTAGCTGGAGCCAAGCTTTTTCACGTTGAAGGGGTCCTTCAAGTTCAGGTGGCTGAAGTTGCCCTTCAGGCCCAAAATCTCCAGCATAGACGCCCTGCGGGCGCCCTGCTTCACCACCGTGCGCTCGCTTGACTCGCTTTGAGATGCTGCGCCCATCGTGAGACTGGGACAAGTTCGGACGGGGGGTGTCTACAAGCACGTGCTGTACCAGAGGCTGAGCACAGAGGATCCAGAGCGGAGCTTGCTCAGGTGCCTTGCTCACCTGACAAACGATCCGATGAGATGCGATGAGATTTGCTGGCCGACACAGGATCACTACTCAACTTGTAAACGGATTCATGCAGATGCAAGGCAGATTCCGTGTTTTCAAGCAGTCGCATTCATACACTCTCCGTGTGGATCTACGGCTGATGGGAGACGGCGCTTTGTCGCACACATCTGCGGCTCGCCTTGTGCGGGCTGCGGATGGTGCTGCTTACCGTCCGGTTTTTTCAACATAGCGGGATGATGCCAGGCCCTAAGGAGCCAAGGGCTACGGACCTAGGGCTTGACCTTGAAGAATCTTAAATAATGCATTGCATCCTCTCCAGTCGGAGGAAAGCTGAATTACAGATGCCCGCTCCACAGGCCGTCTGGTGATGTCTGGTGCCGCGCGGCCTCCTCAGGCCGTGCGACCGACGCTGTACACGAGGCATAAGCAACGCGGCGAAGCGCCTATACATGCGTGGAATGCCGTCGACAGTGATGAAGCCTCGTAGGTTGCTTGCTCAAACCTCCTCGCCGAAGGACTGGCCGGGGGTGATGGTGCTAGGAGTACCCTTGCCGCTGCTCTTCTCCTCCTCGTCGCCCTCCACGAACGCGGAGCCCCAAAGCTTGTGAACTCGCACCATGGGGCTCTCACCACGGTAGAGCCTCAGGGGTGCAAGCAAGAGCTGGATGGAGATCCAGAGGCCCAAGCCGGCGATGATGCCGTAGCCGATGCTGAACGTGAACGGCATGGTGATCATGGCCACGAAAGCCGGCAAAGACTCCTGGAAGTGAGGATCATGTGTCTAACACTTCAACTAGCTACAGCAACTGCCTGAACGCCTCCGAACAAACTACCTGTATGTTATACTAGTAAGTGCGAGCAGCTTCGATTCTATCTCTTGCCATGCCTGGTGTGCCACAGCAAACCTTCGTGCTGTTGGTCAACGGTGCCACACGAATCATCGTCTTCATACTACACCGAACATCACGACATGCTCTGATAGACTCCTGGAAGTCATCCCAGTCCACGCCCTTCACGGAGCTGCACATCATGGCGCCCAGGAGGCACGGGATGGGCCCGGAAGCCAGCGGAGGAACCTCAGACTTGCAACTCAACACACATTTGATGCCACAGCTCTCTCTGTCTTTGTCGCGTTCTCGCTCTCCCTCTCTCACACGCACATGCGGCCGAGGCGCGGCCGAGACGATCGGGGAGAAGGGGATGGCCAGCAAGAAGCAGCTGCCTGTCACCAGCGAGGCCAAGCCAGTCTTGGCTCCATCCGCCACCCCTGCCGTCGACTCGGCGAAGGTGCTCACTGTGGAGACGCCCAGCACGGAGCCAACCTTCAGGACGGACTGGCCATCACAGTACGGCTGCGGTCCATGCATGTCTAGGCCTAGGCCTTATTAAGCCTTGGCGATGGGCAACTGACACACATTAAGGAAGGCTGCACTGCACGTCTTACTTCCAAAGAGCTTGGGCTCAGAAAACAGACTCTAGATCGGGTTTCAACCAGCCCCCCCGGCCATCATGGCCAGCGCGTCGGCCAGGTACGCCATGTTCTGGCGCGCAAGCGGCAGGTTGCCCCGGCTGTCCGTGAGCCCGGCGACCTTCGCCACGGCGAAGAAGGTCCCGGAGGAGTCGAGCAGGTCGGTGTAGCCTCGGGCGCCACCCGGCGTGCAAGTTACAACACACTCTGAAAACCACCTTTCTCGTATGAAGCCCTTTGGGGTTAATCACTACACCTTGAGGGCTTGCTGCTGACTTCGTCCGTGGATTGCTCCGAAAGCGTGAGAACCCTTCAGCAGCGCAGCTTCAACAAAAGCGCAAGCCAGGTGGCAGAACGTAGCCACAGCCGTCCAGAAGGTGCTGCTGGTGTCCGGGTGGAAAGCCTTCTTTGACAGAGAAGGCTCTCGACTCTTGGGCCACACTGTAGATTCTCTAGATGTCTGACCATGCATGTCTCGAAGCACTACAGATAACCCGCAGATTCCGGGCCAGGCGGCCCAGTCAAAGCCTTCGAACAAAGCACCAGCAAGGCCTTCAAGAGACGGCTTGGCCACCTAGGTCGCAGGGCTTGGGGGCTGGTGTAGAAGGTAGGGCCACGAGTTGAAGATATGACTATGACGATGACTAACTAGTAATTTACCGCAACTTCCGCGCAGGTGGCGCTTGCCTTGCCTGCTGTCTGCTGCCGTGGCACGATGCCGGTGGGCACGTAGATGTGGAAGTCCTTGGCGGAGCTGTCGCCTCCGGTGCCGAAGGGGTAGCCGAAGACGGTGCCCTCCGTGCCGTGCGCCCAGCCCTCGATCCAGCAGATGACGGTTCCCAGCACGATGCCGATCAAGGGAGCACCCGGGACCTTGGCCGCCAGCAAGCTCGCAGTGATCACCAGCACTGCGAGGCTCAACCACATCTTCGCCGAGTCATAGGAGTCGGAGCTCAGAGACCCGAGCTTCACCAACGTGGCGGGATCTGCCACAGAGAAGCCCATGCCCTCGGCACTCTGGAAAGCGATGAAGGTCAGGAAGAGCCCGACGCCCGCGCCGATGATCTCCTTGATGCCTTCGGGGAAGAGCCGGATCAGCAGCGTGCGCATGCCCGTGACGCTCAGCAACGTGAAGAGGCAGCCAGCCACGAAGACAGCCGCAAAGGCGGCTTGCCATGGGAGGCCCCGGCCCAAGACGATGCTGAAGGTGAAGTAGGCGTTGGTGCCCATGCCTGGCGCAAGCATGAAAGGGAAGTTGGAGAGGATGCCCATCAGCCAACAGCCACAGAAGGCTGCTAGAGCCGTGGCACACACCAGCTGTTCCTTCATGTCCGGCACAGCGAGACTGAGCATGCCACTGTTCACCGGAAGAATGTAGGCCATGGCCAAAAACGTTGTCAAGCCAGCACGGATCTCGGTGGTGTAGCTGGAGCCAAGCTTTTTCACGTTGAAGGGGTCCTTCAAGTTCAGGTGGCTGAAGTTGCCCTTCAGGCCCAAAATCTCCAGCATAGACGCCCTGCGGGCGCCCTGCTTCACAACCGTGCGCTCGCCTGACTCGCTTTGAGATGCTGCGCCCATCGTGAGAATGGGACAAGTTCGGACGGGGGGTGTCTACAAGCACGTGCTGTACCAGAGGCTGAGCACAGAGGATCCAGAGCGGAGCTTGCTCAGGTGCCTTGCTCACCTGACAAACGATCCGATGAGATGCGATGAGATTTGCTGGCCGACACAGGATCACTACTCAACTTGTAAACGGATTCATGCAGATGCAAGGCAGATTCCGTGTTTTCAAGCAGTCGCATTCATACACTCTCCGTGTGGATCTACGGCTGATGGGAGACGGCGCTTTGTCGCACACATCTGCGGCTCGCCTTGTGCGGGCTGCGGATGGTGCTGCTTACCGTCCGGTTTTTTCAACATAGCGGGATGATGCCAGGCCATAAGGAGCCAAGGGCTACGGACCTAGGGCTTGACCTTGAAGAATCTTAAATAATGCATTGCATCCTCTCCAGTCGGAGGAAAGCTGAATTACAGATGCCCGCTCCACAGGCCGTCTGGTGATGTCTGGTGCCGCGCGGCCTCCTTAGGCCGTGCGACCGACGCTGTACACGAGGCATAAGCAACGCGGCGAAGCGCCTATACATGCGTGGAATGCCGTCGACAGTGATGAAGCCTCGTAGGCTGCTTGCTCAAACCTCCTCGCCGAAGGACTGGCTGGGGGTGATGGTGCTAGGAGTACCCTTGCCGCTGATCTTCTCCTCCTCGTCGCCCTCCACGAACGCGGAGCCCCAAAGCTTGTGAACTCGCACCATGGGGCTCTCGCCACGGTAGAGCCTCAGGGGTGCAAGCAAGAGCTGGATGGAGATCCAGAGGCCCAAGCCGGCGATGATGCCGTAGCCGATGCTGAACGTGAACGGCATGGTGATCATGGCCACGAAAGCCGGCAGAGACTCCTGGAAGTGAGGATCATGTGTCTAACACTTCAACTAGCTACAGCAACTGCCTGAACGCCTCCGAACAAACTACCTGTATGTTATACTAGTAAGTGCGAGCAGCTTCGATTCCATCTGTTGCCATGCCTCGGTAAACCTTCGTGCTGTTGGTCAACGGTGCCACACGAATCATCGTCTTCATACTACACCGAACATCACGACATGCTCTGATAGACTCCTGGAAGTCATCCCAGTCCACGCCCTTCACGGAGCTGCACATCATGGCGCCCAGGAGGCACAGGATGGGCCCGGAAGCCAGCGGAGGAACCTCAGACTTGTAACTCAACACACATCTGATGCCACAGCTCTCTCTGTCTTTGTCGCGTTCTCGCGCTCTCTCTCTCTCACACGCACATGCGGCCGAGGCGCGGCCGAGACGATCGGGGAGAAGGGGATGGCCAGCAAGAAGCAGCTGCCTGTCACCAGCGAGGCCAAGCCAGTCTTGGCTCCATCCGCCACCCCTGCCGTCGACTCGGCGAAGGTGCTCACTGTGGAGACGCCCAGCACGGAGCCAACCTTCAGGACAGACTGGCCATCACAGTACGGCTGCGGTCTAGGCATGTCTAGGCCTAGGCCTTGTTAAGCCTTGGCGATGGGCAACTGACACACATTAAGGAAGGCTGCACTGCACGTCTTACTTCCAAAGAGCTTGGGCTCAGAAAACAGACTCTAGATCGGGTTTCAACCAGCCCCCCCGGCCATCATGGCCAGCGCGTCGGCCAGGTACGCCATGTTCTGGCGCGCAAGCGGCAGGTTGCCCCGGCTGTCCGTGAGCCCGGCGACCTTCGCCACGGCGAAGAAGGTCCCGGAGGAGTCGAGCAGGTCGGTGTAGCCTCGGGCGCCACCCGGCGTGCAAGTTACAACACACTCTGAAAACCACCTTTCTCGTATGAAGCCCTTTGGGGTTAATCACTACACCTTGAGGGCTTGCTGCTGACTTCGTCCGTGGATTGCTCCGAAAGCGAGAGAACCCTTCAGCAGCGCAGCTTCAACAAAAGCGCAAGCCAGGTGGCAGAACGTAGCCACAGCCGTCCAGAACGTGCTGCTGGTGTCCGGGTGGAAAGCCTTTTTTGACAGAGAAGGCTCTCGACTCTTGGGCTACACTCTAGATTCTCTAGATGTCTGACCATGCATGTCTCGAAGCACTACAGATAACCCGCAGATTCCGGGCCAGGCGGCCCAGTCAAAGCCTTCGAACAAAGCACCAGCAAGGCCTTCAAGAGACGGCTTGGCCACCTCGGTCGCAGGGCTTGGGGGCTGGTGTAGAAGGTAGGGCCACGAGTTGAAGATATGACTATGACGATGACTAACTAGTAATTCACAGCAACTTCCGCGCAGGTGGCGCTTGCCTTGCCTGCTGTCTGCTGCCGTGGCACGATGCCGGTGGGCACGTAGATGCGGAAGTCCTTGGCGGAGCTGTCACCTCCGGTGCCGAAGGGGTAGCCGAAGATGGTGCCCTCCGTGCCGTGCGCCCAGCCCTCGATCCAGCAGATGACGGTTCCCAGCACGATGCCGATCAAGGGAGCACCCGGGACCTTGGCCGCCAGCAGGCTCGCAGTGATCACCAGCACTGCGAGGCTCAACCACATCTTCGCCGAGTCATAGGAGTCGGAGCTCAGAGACCCGAGCTTCACCAACGTGGCGGGATCTGCCACAGAGAAGCCCATGCCCTCGGCACTCTGGAAAGCGATGAAGGTCAGGAAGAGCCCGACGCCCGCGCCGATGATCTCCTTGATGCCTTCGGGGAAGAGCCGGATCAGCAGCGTGCGCATGCCCGTGACGCTCAGCAACGTGAAGAGGCAGCCAGCCACGAAGACAGCCGCAAAGGCGGCTTGCCATGGGAGGCCCCGGCCCAAGACGATGCTGAAGGTGAAGTAGGCGTTGGTGCCCATGCCTGGCGCAAGCATGAAAGGGAAGTTGGAGAGGATGCCCATCAGCCAACAGCCACAGAAGGCTGCTAGAGCCGTGGCACACACCAGCTGTTCCTTCATGTCCGGCACAGCGAGACTGAGCATGCCACTGTTCACCGGAAGAATGTAGGCCATGGCCAAAAACGTTGTCAAGCCAGCACGGATCTCGGTGGTGTAGCTGGAGCCAAGCTTTTTCACGTTGAAGGGGTCCTTCAAGTTCAGGTGGCTGAAGTTGCCCTTCAGGCCCAAAATCTCCAGCATAGACGCCCTGCGGGCGCCCTGCTTCACAACCGTGCGCTCGCCTGACTCGCTTTGAGATGCTGCGCCCATCGTGAGAATGGGACAAGTTCGGACGGGGGGTGTCTACAAGCACGTGCTGTACCAGAGGCTGAGCACAGAGGATCCAGAGCGGAGCTTGCTCAGGTGCCTTGCTCACCTGACAAACGATCCGATGAGATGCGATGAGATTTGCTGGCCGACACAGGATCACTACTCAACTTGTAAACGGATTCATGCAGATGCAAGGCAGATTCCGTGTTTTCAAGCAGTCGCATTCATACACTCTCCGTGTGGATCTACGGCTGATGGGAGACGGCGCTTTGTCGCACACATCTGCGGCTCGCCTTGTGCGGGCTGCGGATGGTGCTGCTTACCGTCCGGTTTTTTCAACATAGCGGGATGATGCCAGGCCATAAGGAGCCAAGGGCTACGGACCTAGGGCTTGACCTTGAAGAATCTTAAATAATGCATTGCATCCTCTCCAGTCGGAGGAAAGCTGAATTACAGATGCCCGCTCCACAGGCCGTCTGGTGATGTCTGGTGCCGCGCGGCCTCCTCAGGCCGTGCGACCGACGCTGTACACGAGGCATAAGCAACGCGGCGAAGCGCCTATACATGCGTGGAATGCCGTCGACAGTGATGAAGCCTCGTAGGTTGCTTGCTCAAACCTCCTCGCCGAAGGACTGGCTGGGGGTGATGGTGCTAGGAGTACCCTTGCCGCTGCTCTTCTCCTCCTCGTCGCCCTCCACGAACGCGGAGCCCCAAAGCTTGTGAACTCGCACCATGGGGCTCTCACCACGGTAGAGCCTCAGGGGTGCAAGCAAGAGCTGGATGGAGATCCAGAGGCCCAAGCCGGCGATGATGCCGTAGCCGATGCTGAACGTGAACGGCATGGTGATCATGGCCACGAAAGCCGGCAGAGACTCCTGGAAGTGAGGATCATGTGTCTAACACTTCAACTAGCTACAGCAACTGCCTGAACGCCTCCGAACAAACTACCTGTATGTTATACTAGTAAGTGCGAGCAGCTTCGATTCCATCTGTTGCCATGCCTCGGTAAACCTTCGTGCTGTTGGTCAACGGTGCCACACGAATCATCGTCTTCATACTACACCAAACATCACGACATGCTCTGACGGACTCCTGGAAGTCATCCCAGTCCACGCCCTTCACGGAGCTGCACATCATGGCGCCCAGGAGGCACAGGATGGGCCCGGAAGCCAGCGGAGGAACCTCAGACTTGTAACTCAACACACATTTGATGCCACAGCTCTCTCTCTCTCGCTCTCTCTCGCGTTCGCCCTCTCTCTCTCGCGTTCTCCCTCTCTCTCTCTCTCCCGCACATGCGGCCGAGGCGCGGCCGAGACGATCGGGGAGAAGGGGATGGCCAGCAAGAAGCAGCTGCCTGTCACCAGCGAGGCCAGGCCAGTCTTGGCTCCATCCGCCACCCCGGCTGTCGACTCGGCGAAGGTGCTCACTGTGGAGACGCCCAGCACGGAGCCAACCTTCAGGACAGACTGGCCATCACAGTACGGCTGCGGTCTATGCAACTGACCCACATTAAGGAAGGCTGCACTGCACGTCTTGCTTCCAAATAGCTTGGGCTCACTTTAGAATACTTTAAATACTCCGGATCGGGTTTCAACCAGCCCCCCCGGCCATCATGGCCAGCGCATCGGCTAGGTACGCCATGTTCTGGCGCGCAAGCGGCAGGTTGCCCCGGCTGTCCGTGAGCCCGGCGACCTTCGCCACGGCGAAGAAGGTCCCGGAGGAGTCGAGCAGGTCGGTGTAGCCTCGGGCGCCACCCGGCGTGCAAGTTACAACACACTCTGAAAACCACCTTTCTCGTATGAAGCCCTTTGGGGTTAATCACTACACCTTGAGGGCTTGCTGCTGACTTCGTCCGTGGATTGCTCCGAAAGCGTGAGAACCCTTCAGCAGCGCAGCTTCAACAAAAGCGCAAGCCAGGTGGCAGAACGTAGCCACAGCCGTCCAGAACGTGCTGCTGGTGTCCGGGTGGAAAGCCTTCTTTGACAGAGAAGGCTCTCGACTCTTGGGCTACACTCTAGATTCTCTAGATGTCTGACCATGCATGTCTCGAAGCACTACAGATAGACCGCAGATTTCGGGCCAAGCAGCCCAGTCAAAGCCTTCGAACAAAGCGCCAGCAAGGCCTTCAAGAGACGGCTTGGCCACCTAGGTCGCAGGGCTTGGGGGCTGGTGTAGAACGTAGGGCCACGAGTTGAAGATATGACTATATGACGATGACTAACTAGTAATTCACAGCAACTTCCGCGCAGGTGGCGCTTGCTCTGCCTGCTGTCTGCTGCCGTGGCACGATGCCGGTGGGCACGTAGATGCGGAAGTCCTTGGCGGAGCTGTCGCCTCCGGTGCCGAAGGGGTAGCCGAAGATGGTGCCCTCCGTGCCGTGCGCCCAGCCCTCGATCCAGCAGATGACGGTTCCCAGCACGATGCCGATCAAGGGAGCACCCGGGACCTTGGCCGCCAGCAGGCTCGCAGTGATCACCAGCACTGCGAGGCTCAACCACATCTTCGCCGAGTCATAGGAGTCGGAGCTCAGAGACCCGAGCTTCACCAACGTGGCGGGATCTGCCACAGAGAAGCCCATGCCCTCGGCACTCTGGAAAGCGATGAAGGTCAGGAAGAGCCCGACGCCTGCGCCGATGATCTCCTTGATGCCTTCGGGGAAGAGCCGGATCAGCAGCGTGCGCATGCCCGTGACGCTCAGCAGCGTGAAGAGGCAGCCGGCCACGAAGACAGCCGCAAAGGCGGCTTGCCATGGGAGGCCCCGACCCAAGACGATGCTGAAGGTGAAGTAGGCGTTGGTGCCCATGCCTGGCGCAAGCATGAAAGGGAAGTTGGAGAGGATGCCCATCAGCCAACAGCCACAGAAGGCCGCCAGAGCCGTAGCACACACCAGCTGTTCCTTCATGTCCGGCACAGCCAGGCTCAGCATGCCACTGTTCACCGGAAGAATGTAGGCCATGGCCAAAAACGTTGTCAAGCCCGCACGGATCTCGGTGGTGTAGCTGGAGCCAAGCTTTTTCACGTTGAAGGGGTCCTTCAAGTTCAGGTGGCTGAAGTTGCCCTTCAGGCCCAAAATCTCCAGCATAGACGCCCGGCGGGCGCCCTGCTTCACCACCGTGCGCTCGCTTGACTCGCTTTGAGATGCTGCGCCCATCGTGAGAATGGGACAAGTTCGGACGGGGGGTGTCTACAAGCACGTGCTGTACCAGAGGCTGAGCACAGAGGATACAGTCAGGAGCTTGCTGCATGCAATAAGGTCAGGAGGCAAGACCCGATGAAATGAGAGATGTTGCGACACATCGAACGCACGACAGCCCCAAGCATCAAGACAAAACTTTGGCAAACAAAGCACAGCAGCCTGTCTGTCTCGAAGATAAGAAGATGGCTCTGAGATATGCGAAGCAAACGCACCGAGCCAAGGCTTTGGGCTCCGAGCCCATTTCACCGGGTTGCTTCCGAAGTCCATGCCGCGCGAGAGCCGGTCCTCATGAGAACTCTGGAAGTCACTGAGGGCTTCCGGATGCTTCCGGGCTGGGCCAGAGTGTAGAGGACTTGGTGCAGGGGTCCATGATTTCAGTGCAGGATTTGCAGATCCAGGGCGCGGGTGTCTGCAACAACGAGCTGGAGCAAACATCACGGCAAAGGCCGTCTTCTTAGAATGAAAGAGCCCCAAGCCCCAGCTCCCACAAACTCCTAAACCGTAGAAGCTGAAACCATCACCCGGCCGGGCGCCAGGCCGTGCAGATAAGGATTCGACGCTTGAAGAAGTCAGCCGCAGGGACCTGAAACGGAAATCAAAAGCCAACATAACTCAATGCAAGGTGCGATTATGTAGGTGGTTGTCAAAATTATGGTCCCTTTTTGGGTCCCGATTATAATATGATGGCACCTATTATTTAGGGTACCCAAAAAGGGACCATAATTTTGGCAACTACCCTTGTAGGTATCCAGGGTGTGGGTTTAGGGTTTCCAAATGTAAACGTTCAGAGGGCGTTGTGAAGTCTCCGAAAGGCCGCTCATACTAAACCCCCAAAGCTGGGAAATCCCCAAACCTGAACTCAGACTCGTCAGCCCGAACCCCCCCCCTCTTGCAAAGGCCTTCTCTGTGCTGAAAAGATCCATGTTCCGCTGGTACTCCTCCGGTTTCGGGGGCTCTGTGGATGCAGGGTTTCGGGGTTTGGCTTTGAGCTCTGGGGATTCAGGACAGTGGGCTCGGGGTCTTGAAAAGCAAGCGTGAGAAACATGAGCATCCCCAAAACCCACCCTGAATCGTAAACCCTGCACTTGTGACGTAGACTTCCCTGGTGTCTACAAGGTAGCTTCAACCTGACATTCACATAAACACTTCTGCTCCGAAAAGATGATTCCCAGACGTCCCAAGCCCGGAACTCCCAAACTCTACAGTCTACAGCCCCCCAACCCTGACCCTGCAACCGTTCCAGCTCCCAACCCTCGATATACGGGCCTTAATAATTCGAAAAGGGTTTGAAGGCATAATCTACTACATAATCTATACTATACTTATATAGGGACTATAAGGGGTACTATGACGACTACCATGGCTAATTTACACCCTAAACCCTAAACCTGATTCATGAGTACCAGGTCCTTCTTGTCCCGAAGCCCGTGGAGGACCAGCAACTGCGATTCACGCAAGAGAGGCTGCACTTTCTGGGTTGAGGGCTTTGGGTTTTTTTTCGGGTTTCAGTTTCATGCATGAGGCTCAGGGTTAAGGGTTTGGGTCTTGGGATTTAAGGCTTTGGTGCTTCATGCATTAAGAGACTTAATTACTGTTTAGGCCCAGGCTTGAGTGCTTTACGGATTGGTGGAGGAGTGAGACTTGCTCTGATCTTCAGGCTGGAACGGGTTCTATTGCGGCCTAGCCAATACTAGCACTAGGTTTAAGTCGCCCCAGCTGGCGTAAAGTCGCCCCAAGCCCGCGGCACGCGGCGTGGGAGTGAAGTCACCCCAGCGGGGTGATGTCAGCCCAACAACAGTTAAACTATAGCCATTCCGCAAGGGCACACCCATTTCGGCAGTGTTCGCGGCTTGTATTTAAAATGATGCGTGCCCTGCGCACGGTGGGTTAGGAAGCCTCATTCGCAGCAAGAATACACACGAGAAACGCACCAGTGGCATCGCAGCAGACAGCAAATCAAAACCCGCCATTCCCCTTCTAGATGCTCGATTACGCAAACACCAACTCGAGACACAAGTGGCATCACAACACATCCAAGAACAAGGAAAGACCGCGCACAGTACTGGATCGCGCAGAAACTAAAGACTGGATTGGAAACAAGATATAGGGGTATGGAAAACCAGACCAAACCCTGCGGCACATGGAGTTGGGACGACTTCGCCCCGGCAGGGACGACTTAAACCTTACGAACATGGTGTAGTTGTTTGGTGCATTTTGATTATATACCGTAAGACCAAAGCACATAATCTAGGGGACTTAATAATTCGAATAGGGTTTTGGGGCCCACTATACTATAAGTATCTAATAAGGAACCCCCAAAATGGCATAGGTAATTATTGGGTCCCCCATATCATTGATTGAGGCTCCCCTACCTCGGCTCCGGAGCTGGAGATGCTTTGCCAAGTCCAGGCTCTTTGAGAAACGCAGCGTGGCTACTAGAAAAGGCCCAAACCCACGGCATCAACCATTAAACACGACACGTTTCAGCTTGTATGCGTGTCATATAGGGGTCTTGATCAATATAGAATAGGATATGGGGGTAAACACAGCAAAGCCATGTAGGGACTAGACGGGAATATGGAGCTATGGCTACCTGGCATTCGGATATGGCGTCGGGGTTTTGAGGCTTCAGAGTTTCTGGATTTACATGTATTGGACTATGGTTTTCTGATCGGATTCAGGACTTGCCACGGGAGGGTCTTGGTCTCTTTAGGCTTCAGGGTTGGGTGTAGGATGATGAAGGGAAATTTAGGCCCCAGAGCAAAACATGCCACAACCCCACCACACCTGCGATGTTGACTCTCCGCTGATTTCTGAATCCACAACACCAGCCCAAAGACCACAAGGCTGCGGAGCCGTACAAGAATAACAGTTGCAACAAGCCAACAGAAGCTGCAAGAACAAGAAAAAGAAAAACAAGCACAACAAGCACCTGCCATCTTAGCGTCGGTTCAGGACGCACTTCCATACCCTTAGAGCCTTAGATTAATTAATGCACCGTAATTACTGTACAGCTTGTACCAAAATGCATTCGCAGCAGCGGGGGAAAGAAACAACAACAACACACATTTTGGACCTCCGGCAGGACTTCAAGAGTGGATTGGGAGGTACAATACGCGTTTTGCAAGTGCCGAAAAGCACGTGTAATGCCGGCGTTTTTCGAGCCTGGGTAAGCACGCATTCAAGCCTGAATAGATGCATTTCGATTGTTCTTTGTAATTTTGTCTTGGGAGCAGCACGTTTTCCTGCCTTTTTGCAGGCGCCCAGAAATCCAGTTTCTTCCTTCCTTGAAGTGATTTCTTTTCATGACGTGCGGTCTTAAGACGCAAGTTTGGAGGATGCGTGTGCAGACTGCCGAGACGCGCATCCCGCCGACGCTAAGCTGTCATAATAGCATCAGACAAATGCTGAAAGCGATATCATCGTGGTGGTGAAGGGCACGATGCCGGTGATGTTGATCATGCTCATTATCTATCAGACTGATAACAACACTACCAACAACAGCTGCGTATAATCATCAAGCATTGAAAGACTAGTCACTGTCATGATGATAATGGCAGGAGCAGCCATACCACTCGCAGCAACTACAGCCACTAGCAATATCGATCGGGGCAAGAAGGGCAAGTAGTCGTACTGATACTGAATGATCGTAACGCCAAGAACACAGGCTGACAGGAAATTCCTCTATACCGCAAACCGACATGTTTGTGCACCTTCCACTGCTTGCCCCCGCTACGCTCGTCGTCAGGGTTGCGTTCGTCCAGCCTGTGCCCAACTTCTCTCATGGTCCCAACTTACTCAGCACGATGTTTTTCATGACCATCATCGTTGCTACCGCTTCCCTGCTACCATTACACTAGGACTATAGTGGCACTACGTCACTATCCCTATGTCTGTAAAGGCTTAAAGATTGACCGGGCTCGTCTCTCAGTCGAACCCTTGACAGACCTCGAAGCCTGATTCCCAGGCCTTACAGCAGAAGCCAGAAAGTTGGAATATCATTATCGTAACCCCTTTAAGGTAAATTATAGGGGATCCTATCATTAATCCATATTCCAAATTTCTGGAGTTCCCTTTAAAGTAAACCCTACCCTCAATATTGCTACTATATGGCCCATTATAGGGTTTAGGGTTGAATTCCCTTTAGGCTTCAAAGACCCGCAGCCGACCTCCCTAAACTCCCCTACCTTCATCGCTGAGCATCGAGCCCCAAAAACTAGGGTTCAGGGTTTAGGGCTTAGGGTTTAGGGCCCAAAAACCCAAATTCAGGCCTGGAGTCCTCAAAGCTCCTGATGCATGGCACAAGGGATGCGGCACAGAAAAAAAAATCACTGTGAGTCCTTATCCTTTCAATCCCAAACAGTCAACACCGCCAATACCAACCATGGCACGGCTTCCGGCCGGGGCTGAGGGCCCTGCGCTTCGTAGACTCTGGAGCAGTTGCTGATGGTGTTGCAGAAGATCATGACCTCGGCCCAGGTGGTCTTCCTCCCGGAAGTCCCTAAATCCTGCAGCCGCGATCCCTCGACATCAGAGACCGAAGTATCGGCCGCCCAGCCCAGCAACCCGGCGCACAAAAGGAAGTCAGATATGACACCTCGAACCAATGAACCTTATGCATGTCTCTGCCCTAGCCTCAGGAAAATAGCCATCGAAGATATAGCACACACCAGCACGGGCGAGGTCACAAGAGTTGCTTGACAGGCACTGAGAGAAGACCACACAACAAATGAGATCACAACACAACGGAGCACGCATCATGAATTGCAAAATAGGTTACAAACAGTAGCTTATGACAGTGCTGAGCCTTTGGGTAATGCATAACATGATGCTGATGGGGGCACGGGTATCATAGCGTCAAAGAGATACAAAACTTACCAATGCATGAAAAATAATCAACCAAAGCGGCATCAATAGAAGAGGCTGAAGAAGAAGACAATAATGGTGGTGGTGACGGTGGTGGTGGTCATGATGACGATGATGACGAACGATGGTTCTGGTGGTTACAATGGTAATTTGACTCAATGCTGAACAGTTGTAGCAACTGCTTGGAAGTATCAGGACTATTTGTTGAAATCGACCGAACCACACAAAACGAAACCTACAATTGATGCTGCAGAAGTCGTACTGCAGCAGTCGTGCTGTCGTTGTTGTCGCTGTAGCAGCAGCAGCAGCAGCAGCAGCAGCAGTTGATACAGTAGCAGCAGCAGTGGCAGCATAGTCGGCGTAGTGACGTAGTGGTGGCGGGCCGTAGCAGTAATTGATTAGGATCCACAGCCGCGGCAGCAGCCCGCAGCAGTAGCATGAGCAGTAGCAGGTAGCAGGAGTAGGAGAAGTAGGACTAGCACTCACTCACTGCTCGTATCAGCGAGTCCCCAGCACGGTTGTCGCTCTCCTCGCACAGTACCCCTTTCTCGAGGTGCCAGGCCTGGGCCAGCCAGCTATTCTATCATAGTATATTATTGTTCATACTACTTTAAATGGTATATAGTGTGTGATGGTAATTCTAGTCTAGTACAGTATATGAAAGCAAAGTATACAGTCTTAGTATAGGGTCCAGGGGCGCTTCCCCCGTCTCACACCCGTCCTTGCAGCTACGGCTCCGCCTTAGATGCAACTCACCCGCCTCAAACCACCCCGGACACCCCTAGGAACAGCTCCAAAACACAAACACCCTAAAAGCAACGATCCCTCTCTCCGCCGTCCGCGGCCAGAGACCGAAAGCCCGCAGGGGAAGGCAGGCGAGAAACCGAGCGAACGCCGCAAATCCCCAGGGCGCGAAGCCCCAAAAGCCTTGAACCCCTAAACCCTATATAAACCCTAAACCTTAGAAACCCTAACCCTAAACTTTAGGGTCATAGTGGTTTAGGGTTTCTAAGGTTTAGGGTTTATATCGGGTTTAGGGGTTCAGGGTAAACCCCTTTACTCTCTCTTTCAGAAAAGCCTTGACTGGGGCTTCTCGCCAGCGCGCCGATCTTGGCCTTCATCACAGCATCCAGCCGCGCACTGAGAGGAGCAGAGGGAGTTCGAAGGGTTGGACAAGCTTTACGCGTCCGACGCTGCTTAAAATCCAAAAACCTAGAACTCCAAAACTAGTTTGTATGGAGCTTTTTAAATTTTGGGCCCTTCTTCGGACAAGGGGAAGTGAAGCCGATGGAAAAGGCCTCTCAACACCAACAAACCACCCATCCCCAGGCGAGTCAGGAGTTGGTGGCCCCCTCGCCTTGTAGTTAGGGTTTTGGGGCATCTTGATTTTACTGATTTAACTTGCGGGCTTTCCTCGGGCACTGCTCATGTTGGTGGGTCGCTTGTGCCTGCGCTTCGTATATGAACCAGTGACAACTAGTCTATCAAACGGCCGGAGTCCAGAACTATATACATGACCGACGAGGAAAGGCCCGCGATGCTGCGCAAACCTCTCAGCCCTAACCCGTGACACGCGAAGCTTGGAAGTTCACGCTCAACACACTCGGAGTCTTCCTTAGCGCCCGTCGAACACCACAAAGCATTGTGGCTGCGGGACTACATGGCGTGAAGACCCTCTCGAAATGCGGTCAGTCGCCGTGGGCTATTCCTGACGTCACGAACATGTATCTGGCAATCAACAACTAATTACGGAGTATCAAAGCTGGAACATGAACCTCCAATTGACTGACATCCGAATTCACAGATGCTGGTGAGGGTTGTCTTCGTCTTCGTCTGGTGGTGGTGTCGACGTCGATAGAGCGCCGTAGAGGCGTGAAGAACTCCCAAACCCCAAGCTCTAAACTTGTAGTAACCTTTAGAGCAACCCTCCTCGTTGCCTAAACAATGGTATTGGTTGATTGGCCATGCTTCCGACCATGCCACACGTAAGAAACACCCGCATGCTACACGTGAGAAACACTCCCAAACGCCAAAGTGTCAGATTTTGTCTAATGTCCAAGCGGCGAGTTCGGAAGGTTGTAGAGGCTCTTTGGCGTGCAGTCGACAAGCACATGCTCACCTTGGATTTGCGAGAAGGGTGCTTTGACCTTTGGGAATCCCAGAGGTTAGCCAGGAAGCTCTTGCAGTGATGCCAAAGTAAGCTCCGATGGAGAGAAAGGGAGAGGCGATGTGCAGAGTGGGGATGGGTGATGCTGCATGGCGATGGTGATAGCCGCTGCGGCTATCGTCACCATGACCATGACCATCCTCATCTCTTCTGCGAGCAGCAGCAGCAGCAGCAGCAGCAGCAGAACCGTATTCACGTCACTATCATAAAAGCGCCGTGATCGTCCTCAGAAGCATCATCTTCTTTCCCTTGGCCAATACCTCATGCTTCTTCATGACTGCTGCTATGTCTATTGCCATGCTCGTAACTGATACCTTCTTGCTACTTTCATTGCTCTAACTGCTATTGCCACCACGACTACCACTGCCAGCCCGACTACTTTCCTCGTTCTAAAACACCCGTAGACGGGGACCCCTCATTCTCTGAAACCGAGCTGCGCAAACCCGACATAGGTTTGAGATTCCTGGATTTGGGGATCAGGCCGTAGGGCTCCAGCTGAAACCCTCAGCCCTCAGCTCTAAGCTCCACCCTGCCCTAAGAACATACACCCTAATCAAACCCATAAATACCCTAATCCCTGCATCCCTAAGACCCTCAATCCCTAAAACTCCAAAACCCTGAAGCCCTGAAGCCCTAATCCGGCTGAGCCCGCCACAGTTCTGCGGCACGCGATGCAGGCCGGGGCCTCTAAAGAGGCACATGGGCTTGGCAAGTATGAGAAGTCAGTCAGCTCACGACGCTCAGGGCTTCCATAGTTTGGGATAAAAATAAGGAACATTCTTGAAATGATCCTTTATGGCCCCGAATAAGCGGTCATTACAGATATTGGAGCTTCAACCCCGATCACTGGACCTACTTTGGAGCTCGTGGCTTGAAAGGCTGGAACAAAACCTATTCAGGCGCCAATATTGCTATTCTACAGAAGGGGTGGTAGGGGCCTTGATAATTAAAATAGGGCTTTGGGGTGATGCGGGCGAAAGCCTGTCGACGAAGAGCGAAACGAAGGACGACCTTTGCATCCTCAAAAAAATGCGTACCTACACATTTACAAAGGACATCTATAACTTACTGCAGATAGACTGCAGAAGTAAAATAGGGTTTTGGGTATGTTATCCATAATAAGGAACCCCAAAATAGTATCGGCCATTATTAAGGCCCCTGTAGTATTGAGGAAAGGCGCAGGCACCCCAAGGATGGAATCGGTAAGTTTCATGTGTCGGGCTCTTGGCCTTGAGGTTCTGTCAGAGTCCCGGGCATGATCTTTCTAGCCGCATGTGAGCTAGACCATGCACCCTGACACCAAAGTTTCCTAAGTATTTGGGCCCCCCAATCCCCAAAGACCCTGAACCCTCAAACGATGATTTCGGCCCTGGGGGACTGAACAGCAAGGAGATGTCAGACTCAGCCCTGAGAACTCAACCCCCAACCCTGAAACGCCCGATTCAACCCTACTAAACTTAATTGCTGAGTATGCAAGCCGACAAAAGTGTAGACTTGCAGTTCTATAAAAGATAATACTCTCCCAAGCTGTGCAAGGCGTGTTCACTCAGCTACTAAGTGAAGCCTACCAAAGCTTACCAAAGCAAACTCTGCCCTACTAAGCCGCCGAAGCCCTGCTTAAACCTTACTAAACCCACTAAAGCCTAAACCCGCTGGACTCTTTGCCCAAAGCCTAAACCCTGATTCCCCCAGACTCTTCGGGCTTCCAGAAGGCAGTTTCCCAAAATAAGGGGTACTTCATTTCGGTGATCCTTATACTAAGGATCCTAGGATTTATGTAGGGTCCAGTACTCTTTTTTTTTTAAAGTGCACTGACCCTTTCTCCACTTCTGCAGCGTCGAAATGGAGGCTAAGCCTGCCACACAAACGGGGCTTGAACTACACTGGCATTCAGATGACAAAGTCCCACATCTTCACCATCGGCAGAGACACGACAGGACTTTCACAAATCATCACGACTACTTCTGCTTCGTTCACGATCCGGACTATCTGCACGTTCCCGAGCACTCTGCCGACCTTCTAGACGCTCTCCAGACTCATCCGATGCATCTGACTCGTGCACTGGCATGCCTCTCGACCAGTGCAGTCCGCGCTCATCCTGCTCCACACCAGGAACTGCGACAACTTCACCGGGAGGCACACTCGGAGGGGCTCGATGATGTCTGTGTGCAGGATGTTCAGAAGGTCCAGCAGCTTCACCACGATGTCCAGCAACAGCGCGACGGCGTAGTCCAGCAACCCGACGAAGATCAGCAGAGGCAGTACGACGACGTAGTCCGGAAGCATGTGAGGACAGAGCACCAGTAGATCTGCTCATCATGGTTGACATCGCCCCCGAGGCCGCAGACATGCCAGCTGGTTGTACACGTTGTGTTCTCTCAGGAGGTGCTTGTCCAGGGACTTGCTCAAGCAGTGGGTTCACATCCTCCCGGACCAGGCGTGGACGCGGGCTTGGCTACGCGCTGCTTCGATAGACATCGAAGAAACCTCGCTGAGGCTTGTGTTCGTCGCAACACACAAACCGCTGATGAGGGAGGAGACAACCGTGGCTGTCTGCTTGTTCCAGCCGCTCATCTGCGGTTGTCTCATGCCCATGCCACCGGCCATTCCGCCCACACCGCAAGGGTCTGCGGCATCGGATACCGGAACCTGCGTTGTGAGCGCAGGTTTGGTCCAGGTCACCTCGCCGGTGGATGTGTCGTGGTAGTACGGATCCTAAACCCTAAACCCTAAACCCTAACCCTAAACCCTAAACCAGTACTCTTTTAGGGTCCCCTATTTACGGAAACTCCCAGAAAGAGCTGCCGCATGTCGGCCTCGGGTCCACACGATTTGACCGTCTTTCCTCGCCAGCGGGCGATACAACACACAACACGTAGCTTATAGCACTTAACATATATACATATATATATATATATATTATGTGCATAAACAAATACGCATACAGATATCCGCCGACCCTGCTGGGGCGGCGCCCAGAAGCTCTTGGATTCTTGCAGCATCTGGCCGACTCGCTCTTACTCGGGAATCTAGGCCGTCCCTCTATGACCAGCCCTCCCGGCACCACCCGATACCACTCGGCACCACGCGGCACTAGTCGGCTCCACAGGCTGTATTTTTGGTGGTATTTCAGTTGTAGTAGAGTAATTTTAAAGGCGCTCCAATGTCTGCCCCACCCCCTCCCGGCACTACCCGGCACCTCTCGGCACCACGCGGCACTACTCGGCTTTACAGGCTGTATTTTGGTGGTATTTCAGTTGTAGTAGAGTAATTTAAAGGCACTCCAATGTCTGCCCCACCCCCTATTTAAAGGCACTCCAATGTCTGCCCCACCCCCTCCCGGCACTACCCGGCACCTCTCGGCACCACGCGGCACTCCTCGGCTTTACAGGCTGTATTTTGGTGGTATTTCAGTTGTCGGCACTACCCGGCACCTCTCGGCACCACGCGGCACTACTCGGCTTTACAGGCTGTATTTTGGTGGTATTTCAGTGGTAGTAGAGGCACCCCAATGTCTGCGGCACTACTCGGCACTACTCGGCTCCACAAACTGTAGATTTTGGTGGTATTTGGTGGTATTTCTGTGTTAGTAGAGTAATTTAAAGGCACCCCAATGTCTGCCTGACCCCTTCCCGGCCCCACTCGGCACCACGCGGCACTACTCGGCACTACTCGGCTCCACAAACTGTAGATTTTGGTGGTATTTCTGTAATAGTAGAATAATTTAAAGGCACCCCAATGTCTGCCTGACCCCTTCCCGGCCCCACTCGGCACCACGCGGCACTACTCGGCTCCACAAACTGTAGTATTAGTAGAGTAATTTAAAGGCACCCCAAGGTCTGCCTGACCCCTTCCCGGCCCCCACTCGGTACCACGCGGCACTACTCGGCACTACTCGGCTCCACAAACTGTAGATTTTGGTGGTATTTCTGTATTAGTAGAGTAATTTAAAGGCACCCCAATGTCTGCCTGACCCCTTTCCCCACTCGGCACTACTCGGCTCCACAAACTGTAGATTTTGGTGGTATTTCTGTATTAGTAGAGTAATTTAAAGGCACCCCAATGTCTGCCTGACCCCTTCCCGGCCCCACTCGGCACTACTTGGCACTACTCGGCACTACTCGGCTCCAGAAACTGTAGATTTTGGTGGTATTTCTGTATTAGTAGAGTAATTTAAAGGCACCCCAATGTCTGCCTGACCCCTTCCCGGCCCCACTCGGCACCACTCGGCACTACTCGGCTCCACAAACTGTAGATTTTGGTGGTATTTCTGTATTAGTAGAGTAATTTAAAGGCACCCCAATGTCTGCCTGACCCCTTCCCGGCCCCACTCGGCACTACCACTACTCGGCACTACTCGGCTCCACAAACTGTAGATTTTGGTGGTATTTCTGTATTAGTAGAGTAATTTAAAGGCACCCCAATGTCTGCCTGACCCCTTCCCGGCCCCACTTGGCACTACTTGGCACTACTCGGCACTACTCGGCTCCACAAACTGTAGATTTGGGTGCTATTTCTGTATTAGCAGAGTATTTTAAAGGCACCCCAATCTCTGCCTGACCCCTTCCCGGCCCCACTCGGCACCACTCGGCACTACTCGGCTCCACAAACTGGGTGGTATTTCTGTATTAGTAGAGTAATTTAAAGGCACCCCAATGTCTGCTTGACCCCTTCCCGGCCCCACTCGGCACTACTTGGCACTACTCGGCACTACTCGGCTCCAGAAACTGTAGATTTTGGTGATATTTCTGATTAGTAGAGTAATTTAAAGGCACCCCAATGTCTGCCTGACCCCTTCCCGGCCCCCACTCGGCACCACGCGGCACTACTCGGCACTACTCGGCTCCACAAACTGTAGATTTTGGTGGTATTTCTGCATTAGGAGAAATTTAAAGGCACCCCAATGTCTGCCTGACCCCAGCCCTCCCGGCACCACCCGATACCACTCGGCACCACACGGCACTAGTCGGCTCCACAGGCTGTATATTTTGGTGGTATTTCAGTTGTAGTAGAGTAATTTTAAAGGCACTCCAATTGTCTGCCCCACCCCCTCCCGGCACTACCCGGCACCTCTCGGCACCACGCGGCACTACTCGGCTTTACAGGCTGTATTTTGGTGGTATTTCAGTTGTAGTAGAATAATTTAAAGGCACTCCAATGTCTGCCCCACCCCCTATTTAAAGGCACTCCAATGTCTGCCCCACCCCCTCCCGGCACTACCCGGCACCTCTCGGCACCACGCGTCTTTACAGGCTGTATTTTGGTGGTATTTCAGTTGTAGTAGAGTAATTTAAAGGCACTCCAATGTCTGCCCCACCCCCTCCCGGCACTACCCGGCACCTCTCGGCACCACGCGGCACTACTCGGCTTTACAGGCTGTATTTTGGTGGTATTTCAGTGGTAGTAGAGGCACCCCAATGTCTGCGGCACTACTCGGCACTACTCGGCTCCACAAACTGTAGATTTTGGTGGTATTTGGTGGTATTTCTGTATTAGTAGAGTAATTTAAAGGCACCCCAATGTCTGCCTGACCCCTTCCCGGCCCCACTCGGCACCACGCGGCACTACTCGGCACTACTCGGCTCCACAAACTGTAGATTTTGGTGGTATTTCTGTATTAGTAGAATAATTTAAAGGCACCCCAATGTCTGCCTGACCCCTTCCCGGCCCCACTCGGCACTACTCGGCACTACTCGGCTCCACAAACTGGAGATTTTGGTGGTATTTCTGTATTAGTAGAGTAATTTAAAGGCACCCCAAGGTCTGCCTGACCCCTTCCCGGCCCCCACTCGGTACCACGTGGCACTACTCGGCACTACTCGGCTCCACAAACTGTAGATTTTGGTGGTATTTCTGTATTAGTAGAGTAATTTAAAGGCACCCCAATGTCTGCCTGACCCCTTCCCGGCCCCACTCGACCACTCGGCACTACTCGGCTCCACAAACTGTAGATTCTGTATTAGTAATGTAATTTAAAGGCACCCCAATGTCTGCCTGACCCCTTCCCGGCCCCACTCGGCACTACTTGGCACTACTCGGCACTACTCGGCTCCAGAAACTGTAGATTTTGGTGGTATTTCTGTATTAGTAGAGTAATTTAAAGGCACCCCAATGTCTGCCTGACCCCTTCCCGGCCCCCACTCGGCACCACGCGGCACTACTCGGCACTACTCGGCTCCACAAACTGTAGATTTTGGTGGTATTTCTGTATTAGTAGAGTAATTTAAAGGCACCCCAATGTCTGCCTGACCCCTTCCCGGCCCCACTCGGCACCACTCGGCACTACTCGGCTCCACAAACTGTAGATTTTGGTGGTATTTCTGTATTAGTAGAGTAATTTAAAGGCACCCCAATGTCTGCCTGACCCCTTCCCGGCCCCACTCGGCACTCGGCACTACTCGGCTCCACAAACTGTAGATTTTGGTGGTATTTCTGTATTAGTAGAGTAATTTAAAGGCACCCCAATGTCTGCCTGACCCCTTCCCGGCCCCACTCGGCACCACTCGGCACTACTCGGCTCCACAAACTGTAGATTTTGGTGGTATTTCTGTATTAGTAGAGTAATTTAAAGGCACCCCAATGTCTGCCTGACCCCTTCCCGGCCCCACTCGGCACTACTTGGCACTACTCGGCACTACTCGGCTCCACAAACTGTAGATTTTGGTGGTATTTCTGTATTAGTAGAGTAATTTAAAGGCACCCCAATGTCTGCCTGACCCCTTCCCGGCCCCCACTCGGCACCACGCGGCACTACTCGGCACTACTCGGCTCCACAAACTGTAGATTTTGGTGGTATTTCATTTAAAGGCACCCCAATGTCTGCCTGACCCCTTCCCGGCCCCACTCGGCACCACTCGGCACTACTCGGCTCCACAAACTGTAGATTTTGGTGGTATTTCTGCATTAGTAGAGTAATTAATTTAAAGGCACGCGGCACTACTCGGCTCCAGAAACTGTAGATTTTGGTGGTATTTCTGTATTAGTAGAGTAATTTAAAGGCACCCCAATGTCTGCCTGACCCCTTCCCGGCCCCACTCGGCACCACTCGGCACTACTCGGCTCCACAAACTGTAGATTTTGGTGGTATTTCTGTATTAGTAGAGTAATTTAAAGGCACCCCAATGTCTGCCTGACCCCTTCCCGGCCCCACTCGGCACTACTTGGCACTACTATTTCTGTATTAGTAGAGTACTTTAAAGGCACCCCAATGTCTGCCTGACCCCTTCCCGGCCCCACTCGGCACCACTCGGCACTACTCGGCTCCACAAACTGTAGATTTTGGTCACTCCTCGGCACCAGAGGCCGTCCTCGCTTGCATTATGCTTTGTATTTGAATTTTTTTTTGGCAGCAAACTGTAGATTTTGCTGGTTTTTCTGTATTAGTAGAATAATTTAAAGGCACGACAATGTCTGCCTGCCCCCTTCCCGGCCCCACTCGGCACCACGCGGCACTCCCCGGCACTACTCGGCTCCACAAACTGTAGATTTTGGTGGTATTTCTGTATTAGTAGAGTAATTTAAAGGCACCCCAATGTCTGCGGCACTACTCGGCACTACTCGGCTCCAGAAACTGTAGATTTTGGTGATATTTCTGATTAGTAGAGTAATTTAAAGGCACCCCAATGTCTGCCTGACCCCTTCCCGGCCCCCACTCGGCACCACGCGGCACTACTCGGCACTACTCGGCTCCGGAAACTGTAGATTTTGGTGGTATTTCTGTATTAGTAAAGTAATTTAAAAGCACCCCAATGTCTGCCTGACCCCTTCCCGGCCCCACTCGGCACCACGCGGCACTACTCGGCACTAGTCGGCTCCACAAACTGTAGATTTTAGTGGTATTTCTGTATTAGTAGAGTAATTTAAAGGCACCCCAATGTGGCCTGACCCCTTCCCGGCCCCCACTCGGCACCACGCGGCAATACTCGGCACTACTCGGCTCCACAAACTGTAGATTTTGGTGGTATTTCTGTATTAGTAGAGTAATTTAAAGGCACCCCAATGTCTGCCTGACCCCTTCCCGGCCCCACTCGGCACCACTCGGCACTACTCGGCTCCACAAACTGTAGATTTTGGTGGTATTTCAGTAGAGTAATTTCAAGGCACCCCAATGTCTGCCTGACCCCTTCCCGGCCCCACTCGGCACTACTTGGCACTACTCGGCACTACTCGGCTCCACAAACTGTAGATTTTGGTGGTATTTCTGTATTAGTAGAGTAATTTAAAGGCACCCCAATGTCTGCCTGACCACTCCCGGCCCCACTCGGCACCACTCGGCACTACTCGGCACTACTCGGCTCCACAAACTGTAGATTTTGGTCACTCCTCGGCACCAGAGGCTGTCCTCGCTTGCATTATGTTTTGTATTTGAATCTTTTTTTGGCAGTGGTAGTAGATTCATTTGAAGGCAATCCAATGTCTGCCCCACTCGTTTTCGGCACTGGTATTTCAGTGGTACTCCAGTATTTGAAGGCACCCCACGTCTGCCTGTTTTCTTCCCGGCACTACTCGGCCCTAGTCGGCCCTATGCGGCAGTCTTCGGTACGACCGGCTGCTCGGTTGCTTGTTCCTTTGTATGTTGGTGGTACTGCCCTGGTAGTAGAGTGATTTCAAGGCACCCCAATGTCTGCCCGACTTTTTCCGGCACTACTATTGTGACGGCCCCACGCGGCCTCACGCAACCCGCCGCTATTCAGTGGGACTGCCCTCAGCTGTGTCTGGGTTGGTTGCCAGCTACATGTTCGCGGTGTCCATCGCTGCTCGAAATTACCGACATCGCTGTCTGGCTCGTTTGCCCTTGCGTTTTTGTTGTCTCGCGCGTTTCAAGACTACACCCTTTGCAACGTGCCTGCTGGGTGGTCGCCCCTGTGCTCGACCATTAACATTCACGGCGGCGGTCTTGGCGAGAACTTTGCCATCTGTAACTGGGAACCGGTGCGGACATCCTTGCTTGCGGCCATCGACGTGTCCATTTGTGATGCTGGACTTGATCCTTTTCCGACAGTGTGGACACGTGTACGTGTGCCGCTCAGCTGCACTTGGAATGACTTTACCATTTTTCACTGTGGCGCTAAACCCTATAGACTCTAAACTCTAATGCGCCCCGCAGTTCCTTCCTAGAGGCCGTACTTTCCGCGAAAGGCTTTCCGCAATCTCTGCTTTCTATGACGTTTAGAGTTTAGGGTTTAAGGTTTGGGTTTAGGGTTTACGGTTTAGGGTTCAGGGCTTAGCGTTTAGGGTTTAGGATCTAGGGTTTAGGGTTTAGGGTTTAGGGTTTAGGTTTTGGGTTTAGGGTTTAGGGTTTAAGGTTTAGACCTCTTTCAGGACTCCAAACTCTACCCCGCAAAACCTGAAGCCTACACCCGCATATAACCCTTGAAGAAACCCTCGAAAAGGAGAGATTATGATACCCTTAACGTTCAACCCTGACACCCCATAGAACGCTTAAAGGAGACCTAAACCCTAAATTCAGATAATGCCCTTTCAAAGGAACCCAAAACCCTGAACCCCGAATCCAAATAGCACCCCTCCAGTCGAACATAAAACTCTGAACCCTGAATCCTAATAGTACCCCTTTAAACAAACCCCTTACCCTGAACCGTAGATCCTAGTGGTACCCCTTTAACGGAACCCTCGACAGAAACCCCACAAAAGAGCGTCCTAAAAAACGAGTTTAACCCGTCCTAACGGACGACTTTAACCCGTCCTAACGGACGAGTTAACCCGTCCTAACGGACGAGTTTTAACCCGTCCTAACGGACGAGTTTGAGCCCGTCCTAACGGACGAGTTTTTCCTAATCTTACCTGAATCTGAAATCTGAAAAAAACCCTGGGCAAGCCCATCCGGGCGAGCCCTCTCAACCCTGAGCAAGCCCATCCAAGCGAGCCCCGAAAATAACCCTGGGCAAGCCCATCCAGGCGAGCCCTCAAAATCCTGGGCAAGCCCCTCCAGGCGAGCCCGAATCCCCCCAAACCAACCTGAACAAGCCCATCCCCCCCGAGCAAGCTGACCCACTGGGCTTCCCGGCCAAGGACCAGCCGAATGAAGCTCGCCGCCACATGACATGGGATGATTTAAGGAAGTAGCCGTCAGTAGCAGCAGCAGCAGCAGGGGGAGTAGTGGCGGGTTATGCAGTAGTCCTCGGTCCTAGTAGCAGCAGTACTAGTAGCAGTAGTCGTCTAAGTAATCGTGACAGTGGCAGAGGTCACTACGCTCCCGTGCACGGGATCTTGCGGGACAGAAGGGTCGGCGGCACTGGCGGTAGCCATTAAATATATATATATATATATATATATATATATATATATATGTACATAAGTACATACTAATATGTGTAGATATGTGTGCAAAAAATCAATTGTACAACTTGACAATATGTCTGTAATATAAAGTTCACAACTCTGGTCCACTCTGGTGCGTTTTCTGGGCGTACAGTAGGGTCTCGGCTGAGAGCTCAAGCTCAGGAGTTTTTCGGGTATCTTGAAGACTTCGAGTGTTGAGGTGGGGGATCTTCTAGTGGGTCAGGTAAGCGATATCAACCACCGATGGCGTCATGACGGGCAGTACACCGAAACCTGGCCCCGGAGACCCCCTACCCCTGAAATTCAAGAGTTCGGCACAGGATCACAGCAGCCCCGACTGCTTACGCCTCTACCCCCTCAAACCTGAGACCAACACCCTAATCTCAAACTCACAACTCATCCACGCGTACCATCCCGATCGTCCTCACTCCGAGGTCGTTGGCTTCCCCCTGCAGCTGGCCCTCGTGTCAAAGCTTGGTTCTTGAGTTCTTTGTCAAAGGCGCCGGTTCAGAGTTTCGCGGGCGTTGGGGTTAAGGGTGTAGAGTTTGGGGTGTCGGGTTTCTGTCTTAGAAGGGCTGCGAGGAAAACCAGCCACAACATCTATCTGCTTAGCGGTGGGGTCAGGGTCGAGGTGCCTTGGAAGCCTTCGGCTGGGCAGTCGGAGTCCGATCCCGTTGTAGCCCGCATGTTGCATCGTTGCGCCCAATGAGGGGGACCCTAAACCCTGGACCGAATCTTCGCCAGGGACTCGGGGAACTCTTGGATTCATTGGGCTTCCGGTGGGGGGCCCGGGCTGCAAAGTAGGGCTAGACTCAGGTGAGCCGGTCCTTCAGCATCCGGATCTCCTTCTTCGCCGCCTCGCATCTGGTATCTTTTCGTTATCATGACGCCCTCGGGCACTTCTCCATGACATTGTTTGTCATCATGAAAGAAAGAAACCGCGTCGCAGCAGCATCATTCATTAACTCTATCATACTACTACCATAAACAGTATCAGCAATATGATTTCACCATGGTATCACACTATCGTAACATCCGATCAAGGACCACGACATCACCAACAATAGCATCAACATCTTCACCGCACTGAAACATGACATAACTGCATCATGCCAGCGCCCTACCGACATCTATCATGCGTGGTACCTTGTCAGGATCATCATCTTCTTCCTCTTGACTATCGCCATCACCGTCATCATCTTTAATAATGCTAGCACTCCATCGAAAACGAGCGAGGTCCAAAGCGCATCCCTGGCGTAACCATTCGCGCCCGACCCGCCGTGTCCTTCTCATGCCCCGACCGTCCGCCGTCTAACATATCCCAAACTTGTGCCGGTGAATCCATCCAGAAAAGCATACGGTACAAACACCTTTGCAAGCAAGCAACAAAAAGTGAACTAATCAAGTGGCCTCCGACACCGTGGCAGTCACGAAGACCCACTGAAGGTCCGCCGGCAACCTCGTCAGACGGCCCTGTGCAAATCCCGAAACCCGGGCCCAAATGTAGCCAGACGACGCAGCCTGTGGCGGCTTGATTTCCGAAACCCACTACCACTCGCTGTCTCTATAGGCCCGGCTCCGCTTTCAGGTCGAACATCGGGTTCGGCGAGTCCTCCCCAACAAGCGTGTCCACCTGCGGCTTAAAGGGTGTCTTGTCAAGGAGGTTGGTTGAGTATGTGGGCGTCTTGGGGACTTAGGGTGTGGCTGCGTTTCTGCACCTGCAGTTGCAGCGCAGTCTCATGCCAGGCTGATGCGCCTTTTGAGACGTAGACATCCCAAGCCAGAGCCTCGTCGTCGGCATCACCATCACCATCACCATCACCATCACCATCACCATCACCACCACCATCATCGTCATCCTCGTCATCATCTTCCTGACATCATGCAATATCATCATCGCTACAGTGATGTTAATGATACTGATGATCATGAGGAAAACTATGCTGATCATCTTGATCATCATCAGCGTCATCGACATCATCAGAATCCCGCGTGCTCCATGTGCATCCTCGTCATTGTCATTCATTGTCTAGACATGAAAGAAAAAGCCTTGAAGACGTCAACCGTTATCTCGACATACGAGCCTGAAAGTCACCTGCAGCATGCAGCTGTCTGGCACGATATCGCAAGAAACTCGCATGCCAAAGAAGAAGCCAACTTGCAAGCCAACTTGCAACCTGGAGCCCTCCCTTCCTGGAACATTCCCAGTTGCCAAGTTGCCAGGACCACTCATGTATGTATGTCTGCAGGTGTATGAATGTGTTTGTATGTGTACGCATGTATGTATGTATGTATGTACGTATGTATGTATGCATGTATGAATGCATGAGTCCGCGCCTCGTCAATGACCAAGGCCTTTACATGTTGCCAGGTATCCTTCTGCACGACGTAGTCCTGAGGCTTTTAGATTTTGGGGTTTGCGGCTTTGGGTTTACGGCCTGCGTCTATGTAGGGGTTCTGCGCTGCTTTTGTGCGTGAGGTTCAGTGCTGAATTTGCGAATAAGTTCTCGGCTCGGAGACCTGCTTACATGTGCCCTCTAGGTTCTAGATGTAGCAAGCCTTTTGCTCCTCAACGCAATGAACACAAGTTGCACAGCCTCAGACCCAAACAATTTCTGTCGACGAGTTTATTGAAATTCCAAATTCAAATGTCATCGCTTGAGGTTTTGGCCGTCCAGCGGCTCTGGTAAGTCCGCAAACATGCGACTGAACGTGTAGGGTTTACGACTGAGACACATCGGAGTCGCACCACCACAGACTTAGGGCCACCTCGGACCTAGCGCGGAAGCCCTCAAGACTAAGGAGCCTGCAAGAGATGGCCTAGATCATCGGGGAGCTTTGATCCTCCGAAGGAACCTTTCACCTCCCCTACAGTAAACCGTAAACCCATAATAGTTGGAAACCGGATTAAGGCCAAGTAGTGCTGGGATTACCTATACATTACTCTCAAGGATTGAGGCTATGGAGTTTCCAACTTTTTGGCTTCTACTGTAAGACTGTATCACAGTGTATCGACAACCCCGACCGCCTCCTCCATGAAGAACTTGAGTCGACCAGGAGTGGCCTTGCCATATTCTATGTCGCAAGGAGAGCCGAAGCATTTCCAGTGCATGTGGGGTTTAGGGGTTCGGGATTTAGGGAGTCTGGCGTTGAGGGGTTTAGGATACTTAAGCCTAAGCGCCTAGAGGGATTGAAAGAGAGGTCTGGTCATTAATGTTCTCTTGTGACAGCTTTGGGGCAGTGCCAGAAGTTCACATGCCGCAATCGCTACTGTAGGGGCCTTAGGGTTTGGGGGGCCCACTGTTGTCTAATTGTAATAAGCATCCCCCGAAATAGTACCAGTAATTATTAAGACCCCTATGGTACATCTCAAACCTTAACATCCAAGCGCAAGCACAAAGCAACCCCAACTCTGATCGCCGAGCCAGAAGTACTTAAGCTACTTACGCCCCAAGCTTCAAAACCTGAACACGATTCCCCAAACCAGACACCATAAACCCTAAAGAAGTTGCAAAACCTCTTCGACTAAGGCCCATGCCACAACGACCTCCGAGCCCTGTTGCAGGCGCCACCGCTGCTGCCTTTCTTCGACACTTCTTGACAAAGGCCGAAAGCAGATCACAAGCGAGATCATACACCAGCGACAAGTAAGTGAACAGCAGCAGCAGCATCATGCACTAGCAGCAGCAGCAGCACCACCACCACCACCACGCCCAACGCCACCACCAACAACAGAAGCCGCCGTCAACCAAACAGATTAGTAAAACTAGCAGGAGTAGCACTGAGAATCCTGGGAATAGCAAGTTTGCCATAAACGGGAGAACACCACCAGCTAATGATGGCTTTCACAACCCCATCCTGATGCCTAGTCCATGTCCTCATCTTCATCGTCAACAACCACCTCGCCGTCGTCATCCGCCCATCATCATAACCATCATCCCCACCCCCCCTGCTATCATCGTCGGCATCATCATCGCCGAGGCCAGTAGCAACTCAAACAACATAAGACAAGCTACCACAATATCTGTTGCTCTTTGATACGGACACGTGCGACACTCGATCACCCAAAACCGGCAGCTGCAACCGCACCAACCGAAATCCCGATAGAGGAGATGTCCGAGACGCTTCGCATTCGCTCCACCACCGCCGACCACTGTGGCCCTGAAACAGACAACGGTTTGGGGGGTGCTACTGCTATAAAGCTAATAAAGGGGCCTTAATAATTACAATAAGGCTTGTGGTACAATACACTACAATTAAAACAAGGAACCCCCAAATAGTATTGGTAGTTATTAAGGCCCCTACATTATAGATCGCCCCCCACACTTGGAGTCGCAGGGCTCTTCGGGTTCTCAGAGTCCGGAATCTGGCGTCCAAGAGCCCAAGGCCATGCTAAGCCTTCAAAACCGAAGGCGAAGCATTGCTGCCTGACCTACGGCGACTGACGGCCCGGGCTTGAAACCTCTATAGGCTATAATCAGAATAGTAGTCATACTACATATACTAAGAATCCAAATAAGTATCATTACGAGTTATAACAATAATAGATGCTTTTGCTTATTTTCACAATGATACTAACTAGGAGTTCTGCCTCCCGGGGGACTTCGGCTCCCAAAACCTTGGAGGAACCCTTGGGCACATGGGACCTCGGGGCTAAGCGCCGGGCACATGGAAGGGGCGGCCACTTCGCGCCGACGCCACCTTTGTTGAGCTGCTTTCTTTTGGAGGCTATTTGCTATTGTATCATCAATTACTGCTAACAGTGTTAGTACTTTTCTTTCGTATCATTATGATTACAGTTACCATCTCATGCTATAGCAAGCGGCTGTCACGCAGAAGATTAGGGGCAGGCATCCAGTGAGTACATTGACGGCAGATACAACCAACTACAAAGCAACTCACTCTCACTCATGAACCATCGATTCTTTAACCTTTCACTCCGTGTCTGGTTTTACCCATTCACCATCAAACTGCCCAGGAGGTGGAGTCAATTCTCGAGCTCTCTAGGCTTGTTTGGTCTGGCACTGGAAAGTTTAAGTTTGACACCATCACGTTCCGCAAGCATTGCCGTCTGTCTCTGGCACTCGTCAAGCCAACTGTCCCTGCATTGGTGTTGCAATTCTCCTTCCCAACGACCCAAGCTTCATACCTGACGTGCGAAAGTGTCGGAGAAGCGACATGCCAGCTGAGGCGGGCCTCTCAAGTCCCAAAAGGAGTTGTTCGTTCCTGTACATGCAAGCACTGCTGGCCTGAGCAAACAGCAGGTAATAAGGGATGGTAGCCGTCGCTGTTGGCGATGGAATCTGTACAGAGCTCTCACGGGTTTCCGGCAAGCTCGAAAACATAACTACAATCAGAAGGAGTGGCTTACTTGCCCTGCTTCATCATCAAGGAGCGCTTCTTCTGGGTCTTCTGCATCTGGGTCTCCTCATCACCGTTGGGCTTCCACAGGCCGCGATGAAGCACCTCCGCAGCGGCGTCGTGGACCTTCTCCCAACCGTGGAAGCGGCCCCGCTGGCTCAGCGTGCCGACGGCGTTCGGGAACGCATGGTGTACCTCAATTTTAGGCGCTTGGACTGCTGCAACCTGACACGGGTTAGCGGGGGGGGAAGGACCTAAAGCCAAAGGACCTTTGGGTTGAGGAGCTCGGTCCGCGGGTGCCCAAAGGACCTTTGGCAAATTGGATTGTTGCAACCTGACACGCCGCAGTGCGCTGGATTTTGCTTGGCATTCAACTCCGACATTCATACACTGTGTGTGTGTGTGGGGCCCTTTGAGCATGCTTTCTGACATAACCGAGCCACGTCGTGGAAGAGCATCTCGTTCCAGCGGTGTTTCCCCCCCAGCACCATGGCCATGACGTTGTGAAGCACAGGCCACGTGCGGCCAGGATCCTGTGCGAGAAACTCGTTCCAAGGTAAGGAATGAGTAAAGTTGGTGATGAACATCCAGGCCGCAGAGTACCCGATGCGAGCGAAGATGGAAACGGTGAACATGAACCGCCAGCCCTCGCTCAGAGGACGTCCCAGAGGGTAGGTGCCGAGCAGCCACACGCAGGCCCACAAGGAGAGCACGAAGGCGTTGTGCTTGATGCGGCGTGGAATCCACTTGCTCCAGAACTCCTTGTTGCACTTGCCACCTGCACCCTCGTCGGGGAAGTGCATCCACCACTCCAAGGCAAACAGAGACCCGGTATCGTTCAGGCCGAAGAAGTGGATCACCGGGATGAACGGGACGGTGAGCAGGTACTTGTACCAGTTCGAGCCCCATGGCCCAGCCCATTGCTGCAGAGCGTAGTGGAACTCCTCGGGGTCCCAGCCGAACTCACCCTGGATCAGCAGGTCAACCGTCGAGGCATGATGCCTGTTGTGCTCCAGGACGAATTCCTCCCATGGAAGAGAAACAAAATCCGCAAAGGGGTGAGTCAAGAAGCGCTGCCACTCGTAAACCGGGAAAGTGGCACCATGCATCACATCGTGATCAATGTAGATGTTCTGGATGGCGATGTACGAGAATGGGAGCCCGAAGCAGAGCGTACAGGTCCACCAGTAGTCCGGGAAGGTAGCCAAAGCTGCACAGTAGCCGATCACCATCAGCACTTGCGTACAGAAAATTGCGGTAAGCACATTCCACCTCTAATGGTTGGGATAGTATTAAACGTAACAATTTCTATTCCTTACATGATTCAAACACCCATGAGAATATGAAAAATGCTTCCCAACTATGACAAAGTGCATATAGATCATCTGCTCCTGCGACAAATGTTTTGGGCACGAACGCAACAGCCTTCTGTGCACTAGCATCCCCTTTATGAACAAGGAACCAACCCAAAGAATGATCAAACGCAGCACCCCGGTCCGGCGTGATCTTGGTGAAGAGGAATGCCAAGTTCTGCGGCATTGGGTCTGGCTTGTTCGGGGTCGGGAAGAGCCGATTGGTCTTCAGGCTCCTGTTCTCATTGTTCTTCTGAACCGAGAGCATCTTGTCGTTGCTCTGGGCAACGCCTGCCGCGTTAGGGTCCCCCTCGCCCGGCAGAGCGTTCTTCAATGCCGCGATTTCATGGTCGTGCAGGTATTTTTTCTTGAGTTCCTCGAGATACTCGTCTGCTCCGTAGAAAATGGAGGCCTTGCTATGGCCGGCCTTGCCCTCCTTACCCAGGAGCGGGGCGCTGGTCGCCATGGCTGCGGCGAAGATGAAAAGGGTCGGGAGGATCTCTGAGAGCCTGTCGGGACCTCGAGCCGCCCCGGGGTGTGAGGCTTGTGACTCGTGGCTCCGAGTTCGGCGGCTTAGGGCGTTTAGGGTTTAAGCCTCTTTTGGGGCTTACGCTTCCTTTGGGGTTCAGGGCCTGCCAAAAAGCACAATATCAAACATTTGAACCACGAAGGCCTGAAGACCCTAAACGTTCCTAAACTCTAACCTTGCTTCTCACACAAAATACGCTGCCAACCTCCGGACCACCAAACCCCAGCCACACAAACAATCTCGGCGGTTTGGCTTCCCCAAACTACAAAAACTTCAAGCTACCGCGATTTTAAAAGCCGTTAGCCCTGCGGCCCAGCTGTTTAAGACCATAATCCAAACGCCTCGGCGGAGAGCCAAAGTCAAAGCCTAAACCTCGAATACTAAATGGGGCTTTCCGGAAATTAGGGGCACCTTATTCTGGGGTCCTTATAATAAGGATCCTACTACTTCGGGTAATATTAGGGTCCCCTATTTTCGGAAACTCCCAAATCTTCTCAATATCCCAACACCGTACCATACGGCAATGGAAACTTGGACTCAGGTTGTGGGGCCCATTCCGAGCCCTACCTTAAACTACCAAACCCTACTTTTTTGAAGGTTTTTATTATTAACCCTAATATGGACCCTACAAAAAGTATGTTTTGGTAAGTTAAGGTAAAGCCGAAGACCGAAATCCTGAAGGACCGGCGGCTCCGAGGCATCGACCCGGGCGACCTCAGCGATCTGCTGAACCAGATCCGACGTGGGCGCCACAACCTCACAGTAGCCGGGCAATTCGTAAGCTATGTGTGCATACACTCATCATACAAGCATGCATGATGCAGATACAGATGCAGGTATAGACTCGAGATAGCAGTATAGAGATAGAGATAGAGGCAGAGGTAGAGGCAGCGGTAGCGGTAGAGATGTCTGCATCCCAAGGTTCAGGTTCACATTTCGAAGCGACGTGTCAATTTAAACCCCCTGGGGTCACACACGATGACGCGCACGCGCCGGTCATCAGGGTCGGTGGGCAGGACGTGGCCTGGCCAGCATCCCATCACGTTCGCATGGATGCGCAAAGAAGCAACTAACCAAAACAAGTTCAAACTGTTTGGCCAAAGGTCCCCATAGGCGGGTGGGCTTTTGCAGTTTATGTTTATGTGGCTTCATGGTGGCGTGGGCGGGAGAATCAAGTTCGTGTTGAATCGCGATAAAAGTGCTGGCAACAGTTGCTCGACGCCTCTGTCAAGCACAAACATCCCATCACCCAACCAACCAAAATACAGAGTGCAAACCTTGGAAGGTAACGGTGCCGCAACTTCCCACAACACACCACGGCCAAGCGGCGCTGGATCAGCGGCAGCAAATATGCCAAGGTCTTGCCGGAGCCTTGCAAATCCCGACCAGGGCTTTGCAGGCCCAAACTCATTCAACCGACAATCCCCAACAAGCTTACGCTTAAGGGTTTAGGTTTTAGGCTTTAGGGTTTACGTTTTGGTTGAGGGGTTTCGGGGTTGTGAAACCCGGGATCCTGGCTGCTGTACCACTGTACCCACGTATGAGAGGGGCTTTTTGCCGGAAGCACCATAAACCCAGGGACAACAAAACTACTTAACTATGAGTAAACCTCAAAGTGCCTAAAATGGTAGGGCTACCACTTCTCAAAACCCAAACCCCAAAACAGGGTTTTGCGGTGCCTTGATGTCCGGACCGAAGACAACCTTCAACCTAGACCCTCTGCCAGCACCCCTGAGCCCTAAGCCTAAACCCGAAAGCCCTAAACCCCTGAACTTTAAACTTTAAACCTCTGAACCCCAAACCCAAACCCGAAAGCCTTAAAACCCTGGGCCCTGGGATCTGGGAGAGGGGCCGGACTGATCTGCGATCACCACATTCCGGCCTCGCAGAGGCGAAGAGGCCACGGACTTTGGGCTTCGGGGCCTTTGGAGCTCGCTACTTTGTCTCCGAGGTTTAAGACTTGCCTTGGGTGCTGGATGTGGCTGCATGGTGGAGCTAGGCATGTTGGGCTGTTTGGGATGTCACGATGTGCTTCTTGCTGTTGACCAGGCCAGATCCTAAGGCTCCCGATCTTCACCACACTAGGGTGTATGGGTTTAGGGGTTTACGGTTTGGGGTTGTAAGGTTTAGGGTGTGGGAGTGTGCAAGCTGTTGCCGACGGTTAAATAAACCAACAAGCCGTCCAATCAGTTGGAAGCGCCCTAGCCCACTTTATTGGGCGACAATGCCGCCAGCCATCCCATTCAACGATTACCCCCGAGGGTCCAGGGTTTAGGCTACTCTAGCCTACATCTTCCCCAAAACAAAGCCAATACAACAGCAAGCTTACATCCGGCTGGAACTCTAGATACAGTAATATCATCCCAACGGTACGCAACACTAAAGCAAGTTTGCGATCTTCTGTCACCAACACATTGCACCGCTCCCCTTTCCGCAGGCCATACAAGAAGTTAGAAGGCTATAACGCCGCTTGGAAAACACTGATCTGTCGGGACTGAAAGGCAACGTGCTTAGTTGTAGTAGGAGTTGTTAGGCTATGGCATCTGGGTGGGGGGATTTGAACAAAAATGCTACATCTGCTACCGCATCCAAGCAAGGGTTCTGCTGCATCCATCCCCTAAACCTTTGAAAGCTGAAATGACCTAAAACTCTAACACCCCAGGGTCAGAACACCGTAGAGCTCTAAAAACCTAGCCCCAAACCGTAAAACCCTAAAACCCTGCAACCCCAAACCCCTGAGCCTTGAAACTAAACCCTGCAAGCCACTCATTGGGGTGCCGGCCATTGGCGACCTCCGGAATGCTCCTTGGAGTGTGGGGTGGCAAACGGGGTAGCAATATCGGCAAGAATAACACTAATACATAGTTATGTTCGTAATGGCAGGAATACTAGCAATGCTGGAGAATAATAGTAACAACACGTATGCTAGTCGTAGAAATACTAACAACAATAACAGCAATAATCAGAAGCATAATATTAATCATGTTTTTAATGGTAAATACCAATCACATCAATGACAATAATCGAGGTAACTGTACAGTGTGCCGGCAAACGACGAGAACGACAAACAGGGGCTCAAGATTGACGCACAATCTTGGGGGGAGAAATGAGCGGTCGCCTTAGTCACCTTGACTACTTGCACCACTTGCTGGGGTAATATTGGAGACTTGAGATCACCGGTCCTCCCGAAGTGGGCAAACGACAAGGACAACGACAATGCTAGTAGTTGTAATGAAATGATGCACGTAAGGTTAAAAACGAATACTGACACATAGCAATAATAATCAGCACGGCGAAAGTAGTTGACATAACCACAATCATCATACCGTCATAATAACCGAAAGGAAAATCAATGAACAAACAAAGCTGAGAATTGTAGTTGCAATCGTCATCGTAATAGCAGTAGCAGTAGCCGCAGCGGTAGCGGTAGCAGTAGCAGTAGCAGTAGCAGTAGCAGTGGCAGTAGCGGTAGCAGTAGCAGTAGTAGCAGTAGTAGCAGCAGCAGCAGGAGTAGTAACAGTAGCAGGAAATAGCAGTAGTAGTAGAAGTAGTAGTACTGGTAGTAGCTGCCAGGCTGCTGAACCTCACCTGCCGCGACTTCGAGACCCAGATTACCCGGAAGACCGCACTCTACCTTGCACAGACCTCAGGAGACCATGAGGTCCGCATAAAGAGGGCCCGGCTTGGCCATCACAAGCTTCACCCCTCACCATAAGAATAAAATGCAACGATAACAGAAAAGAAAGAAGTTTAAAGATGACAACAATCGTAATCTTTGTGATCTTACTAAGGACTAGTAACAACAATTAACATAACCCGCGACGCAACAGAATGCGAGCAGGTTTCTGGTATTGGATTCGCGAAGGCCGGGGCAGCTGCATGCTGCGGGCCTGCGCACAGGAAATGGGGGGACGGGGTTTAGGTTTTCAGGGTTTAGGGGTGCGGCAACACCTGGTGAGGCTTTAACTAGCCCAAAACAAAATGGTCCGAAAACAAACCCCAACTCTGAGGGGAATCCCTGCCAAGCCCCTAAGCTCCGACAAACCTTCCGGAGTGACGGAAGCCCTAGGCCTTACGGCCCCTTTAGATTCGCCACTAAAATCCTAAAACCCTAGCCCCTAAGCCCTGAACCTTTAAACCCTAAACCTTTAAACCCTAAACCTTTAAGCCTTAAACCTTTAAGCCTTAAACCTTTGAGCCCTAAACCTTTGAACCCTAAACCCTGAACCGTAACCCCTAACCCCTAAACCCAAGGACCTAGGCCTCTCAGCCCCGAAGCCGAGTTGAGAGACCCAAAAAGTAGAGGCTCGGGTTTTGGGATTTTTTGATTCTGTAGATTATAGTATGTTTCTGTCTGTGTGTGTATGTATATACTGAAGTTATAGCCAGAAACTGTAAGGAGTACTCGCCTTATTATTGTGGCAGCTATATCGAACCCCCAAAGACATTTAGCTCAACGATGTCCCTGCCAAGCTCCGCACGAGGCTGGTCGTCTCGTCAGTCAAGCCGTCGATCTCGCAGCGATGTGTTATGGTGTGGAGGTTTAGGGGGGCCTTCGGGTTTGAGGACTTTGGGTTGAGAACGGAGTTTTGAGGTTGGACATTTGCAGTATCAGGCTTTGGAAGTTGGCGGCTGCATCCAAGCGCACTTCCCAACCTTTCTACCATAAATGCTTTCACAAAGCCTTCAAGCACAAATTCATCCAAGAAGACCCTCCGCAAGCCCTGATTTCCAAGAACATAACTTTTCTGTCTCAGTTGACAAAGCGTGTAGTTACATCTCTACGTTTGTGTATTATATATATATGTATATATATATATATGTATATATATATATATGTATATATATATATATATATGCATATATGTATATATATATATATATATATATATATATATATATATATGTATATATGTAAAGGTAAATGCTGCATAAGT